ATTAGTCCTTTAAGAAGCTTGGAATAAGGTCTCAGCTGGGGCCTAATGTCATCAGAAAACTAGGCGTTCAAACAGCGGCGGGAAGCCACACAGTTCTCCTCCAGACACGCAGGGAGAGCAAGTCATGGCTGACCTGGGTTCCCTGCTCTGCCAGAAACAGATGGAGGAGTCCCGGAGTTGCTTCTCAACCACAGGGAGCGGAGGGCGGGGAGGGGGAGGACATCGAGACTGTAAGGAAAAACGTGTCGACACATATAAACTCACACTGCCCTGGAAAGTGCAACAGGTGCAACCGGATCTTCACACTTGTGGCCGGTGGCTTCCTACGTGGGAGCATCTGTTGGAAGTCAGCTCCTGGAAGTTATTGCCGCTGACCTGACATGCTTTGTTCAGGACATTCTGGGGGAGAACAGACTAAAGCAAGTTTCCTTTTTTCCTTTGGTAACATTTATTTTTTCTTCTTATGAGATTCCTACACGGTTTGTAGAAAATTTAGAAACTATAAATAAGGAAAACAAGGGGGAGAAAGCATCCGTCCCTAGCACCCTGTGAACATTTGGAGGACTGAGAGAGGTGCCGTCTTTTCTCCAGACTGCGGTATGTCCGTCTTGACTGCCTTCTGCTGACTTCTGACGACTTGGCAACATTTTCTGTCCCACTCTAGGTGGTGAATGGAGTTCATTCTTTTTGAATTCACTGGTCACGCTCAGACAGACCAGGATGGCCCGGCCACCGTCTTTACAAAAGGCAATGGGGACACAGTTCTCACGTTGACATTCAGTATTTACACTGAATACACTGAGAGCCCAGCATATCCATTCACTGGGCAAATACCTGTTGAAGACATAGTGGATACAAAGCGCAGTGCTGCAGGGATTGTGAAAGCAGCAATGTGTCTGGGTCTGATTGCTGAGCTCATAGGATTAATCTTGAGAATTAATTTGCATTTAGCAAGACAAGACCTATGAAGACAAACGGAATAAACAGTGCATTCTATCTATCTATCTATCTATCTATCTATCTATCTATCTTCTCATCCAAGGACATGTTTATTGATTTTTAGAGAGAGAGGAAGAGAGGAGCGAGAGAGGGAGAGGAACATCGATGAGTGAGAGGCACATCCATGGGTTACCCTTTCAACGCGCCCGAACGGGGGACTGAACCCACAACCCAGGCAGGTGCCCTGGGGTTTTCTGGGATGTTGCCCAACCAACTGAGCCACACGGGCCAGGATTATGCATTTTCTTTTAATAGAAAAAAATGGGCAGGAGGAAGCCCTGTCTTTGCACCCAGGTGCCAGGACAGAGAGGCCGGCGGCCCCTGCAGGAGGAGGGGCGATTCTCCCTGCTCGATGGCGGAGCTTATTGTTTCCCCAGTTAGTCGTCCCCGGGGTCTCCCCAGCACGCGGGAGAACGCGGCGCGCTGTTGCAGGCGAGGCCGCCAGCCCCGCACTCACGCCCATGCGCACTGATCGCCAGGGCCTCGGGGCGACTTTTTAAGGATAATTTTGACCACTTGGGATTTGTGTCTCTTTCACTGTAACGCTCTCAGAAGACATCTTGTGCCTCTGTCCCTGTCTCTTCAATCCCCTGCATATTGCCCCACGGCAAGGCCACCGCCACCAGCTGATGAGGTGGGGGCCAGCGCAGGCCACCCGCCACCCACCACTCTAAGCCGCAGTCAGTCGGGCTACAGTGTGGCTTCAGGTGGCCTTGTTTGTGTGGCTTTTGTATTTTTGATGACACAAAGAAGCTCATTACTAGAGCCACCAGTAATGCGCAAGCGATTGCTTTATACCATTGCTTACAACCCTTCAAAGGCTCTTAATTATCTGTATTCTAAACTCCTAATGATTTAGCTGTAGATTACTAAGCCTCACAGCCTCCTGTTCTATGGGGTCGCCGGCTCTGCCCGCCAAGCACCAGCTGTTGAAACCGTTTCCCACGCACCACCCTGCAGGGCCAGCCCTGTCTTTGGAGACGTGCTTGCCGGTCTCCCTCCCCTGAAACAGCGCTCAGCGCCGTCTGGGGGAGGAGTGAACACACCGCCTTCTGTGGGGCGGGTCTTGCCTGAGGACAGATCTGTGCGCCCCCAGCCTCCTGCCTCGGGCTCGGTCCCTGGCCCAGAGGAACCTGAACGCGTGAGGCAGAATCAGAGCCTCACATCTGGGGACTTTCTTCTCTGACAGCGACTGTGAACTAGCAGAAAGGGCAGGACATGCAGCCGAGGGCGATGGCACAGGCTGCCGGTGGCAGGAGTTCGTGCCAAACCTGTCAAAGTCTGCAGAACCCAGAGAGTCTGGTGTGGCCATGGACTCAGTTAACCTTGCGCAGAAGAGGGTAACACCGAGCAGAGAGGGAAAGGCCATCTCTTCTGCGCGATGCTTGCTGCCACGCCTCTCCTGGAGACTGGATCTGGTCAACAGCTTCATTTAACGGGTCAATCCGACTTACTCTTTTTTCCAAAAGTGACCACAAATACTTCCAGTCCCACACGCTCTTCTAGAACCTTGCTATACACTCTCCTTGAGTGGGGCAGGCCTGTGCGGCTGCCCCATCTATAAGGAAATGGCAGAAGTGAAGCTTGGTGACTCCTGAGACGAGGTCATGCGAGGTGACTCCGCCTCAGGGACACCACTGGGAGCAGACATGAACTGTCCCTACTCAGTCAGTGTCACCCAAACTGCAGGTTCATAGCAACATACCTGTATATACGGTTATTGGCTGAAGTGACCAAATTTGGGGATGGTTTGTGTGGGGACATTTATTAACCCTGGTCCTGGACTGAGAGGTTTCTCAGGGTGTGTGGCTTTGGGCAAACTCGGATGGTTGGTCACCTGAACCTTTGGGCCATCAGAAATGCACACGACCTGACCTGTGGAGCCCTGCTTGGTAGGGAGGATTCCTCTTTTTTTCTAGATTAATATTCCTGAGACAGAGGCAGTGTAGTCCATGGTGAACAACGGGGTGGTGATAGGATTTGTTTGCCGGCAGAAGGTCACCCAGCCCCACCCCTGCCGCTCCACCTGGTCTGTCTGAGCAGCTAGTCCAGGAACTGCAATGTGGAGAAGGGAGGCCTCGGGGCAGGAGTGTGGGGTGGAGGCTCCGAGCTTCCCAGGCTCAGGGCTCTTGGGCTGGGTTTCCTCTGCCCGGGACACCCCTACTGGCTCTTTTCACTGATTTGAATCCTCCTGTTTTCTTGTTCTCTGGTGGCCTCCTCCCCTTGGGGCCAGGGCAGGACCTGCATCCTTGCTGGTCTTGGTTGAGTCTTCAGGCCCTCAGCAGTCACTGCCCAGACAGGAGGAGGTGCTCACAACTGGTTTTTATTTTAAATGCTGGAAGAATGAATGAGTCCAGAGGGCACTTACGGTTATTCAAGTCCAGCTGCCGTCATGGCAGCCATTGCTCCTGAGAGCCCGACCGGGGAGCATGACCCTTTCCACACCGTTGGGATGGGGAGCTGCTACGTCCCAGGGCAGCCTGTTCCATCCCGTTTATATCAAAACATTTCAGTGTGAAATAAGAGCCACCTCCTGGTAACTGTTAGCGATTGCTCCCGGGGCCTTTCTCCTGTCCACTCGCCTCCCAGGAGGGAAGCGCTGGCTTCCCTCTAGCCCATCTGCTGGGGATGAGGTGCTGGGCAATCCTCTCACCCTGACTGGAGCCGATGTCTATACAAATGGGAACAGTTACTTATTTTAGCCCACTGAGGACAGCAGTAAGTCCTAAGGGATTGGCAAATCTGTGAAAGTTAAGAGTTTATCTTTAAAATAATGGAGAAAGCCTACCCTTCTGCTTGGTGGGGCTTTGGTGGGATGTGGGGGTCTGTCTCTCTAGTCTCCTGTTGGGTGAGATCATCAAGGATCGTCTCGAGCGCTGGACTAGACTCAACAGCTGACATGTGCTGGGCGGAGGCTGTTGCCCACCAGGAGGGGCCCCATGCAGGCCCTCCGGGTCCGGCCTGCTCACTGGGGCTGCCGGACACCCCGGGGCCCTGTGGCGAGCAGCTGGGCCCAGCAGGGCCTGGAGTGGCCTGGGGAGGCCTCTGAGGGGCTGGTTCGGCCGTGTGCCCCTCCCAAGGCATGGCCTGAATCACAAAGCCAGAAGCGATGACGTCTCCAGCGACAGCCTCACCTTGGCTCTTGTTTCCAGACCAGCCTCTTAGGCCCTGAACTTTGGGAGTCTCCATGCTACGGCTGCTTTGTCTCCTAAGTGACAGTAAAGACAGCCCGGCTCTGGGCAGAGAACGCCTCTGTGAGACACCATGCTGTGCCCCAAGTCCTTCACGAGGACGGACGGCACCTCCCGGAGAAACCCAGAGCTTCCCAGGATGCGCCCTTCCTCCCTGGGCAAGAGCCTCCGCCATTGCCATTTCAATGACCCCAGTGAACCAGCATCTACCTTTCAGAGGGATCTGAGGGAACCGTGCCTGCCAAGTCCCGGCTGCGTCCCTGTGACACTCAAGAACGTGGGCCAGGCTCTTGTGTAGGTTGAGGGAATCCAAGGAGAGTGAAGATTATAGGGAAAGTCTGCCTTTCTGTACAAGGGCTTGCTTTGCATCCTGAAATCTCAGGTTCAACGATTACAATGAGGTCCTGTTATAGAGAGAGCTGGCCTTTTATCATCACTTAAAATCTAATTAATCCATATTGAAGCACAAAGATTTCTGTTGTCCTTTAGGGTGAGGGGTCATAGAAGCCTCTTTGTTCATCCTTAGACTTAGCATCATCAAGCATTGGGGATATAGTTTTACCAAGCAAGTCGGAAGGTAACAGGTCAAATCCTTATCAGAAAGCCTAACTCAGAGTTTTAACAGAGCCCTGAGTCCTTTACATGAAACGTTGTATTCACAAAGAACAAAAACGCATTTCAGGGTGCCCAAAGAGCTAAGGGGCAAAGCTTATATCCCAGGCAGCTTAGAACCAAGCTCAGCACACTACTGTCCACCACGAAAAGACAGCAGCTCGTAGAGGGGTGGCAAAAGTCACAAGGTCTATGGCAATGGCTTTCATCTTTAGAGTAGTAATGCAGTTTGTTGGACTTTTATTATCTTTGCTGGGGTGGGTTTTATCCATTATTACCACTTATCTGCCACATTGGAAAAACCTCAACCTGGACTTAAACGAAATGGAAAACTGGACCGTGGGGCTCTGGCAAGCCTGCGTCATCCAGGAGGAAGTGGGGCGGCAATGTAAGGACTTCGATTCTTTCCTGGCGCTGCCTGCCGAACTCCGGATCTCCAGGATTTTAATGTTCCTGTCCAGTGGGCTGGGATTTCTGGGCTTGCTGGTCTCTGGGTTGGGGCTGGACTGCTTGAGAATTGCAGAGAGGCAGCAAGAGCTCAAGAAGCGGCTGCTAATCCTGGGAGGGATTCTGCTCTGGACCGCCGGCCTCGCAGCCCTCGTGCCAGTCTCCTGGGTTGCCCACGTGACCGTCCAGGAGTTCTGGGATGAGACTGTCCCAGAGATTGTGCCCAGGTGGGAGTTTGGGGAAGCCCTCTTCCTCGGCTGGTTTGCTGGGTTCTGTCTCCTGCTAGGGGGGTGTCTGCTCATCTGGGTGGCCTGTTCTGCCCAAGCTCCTCCGGCTTTGGGCCACTACACAGCAGCAAAACCAGACACTCAGTGTCCATGCCTGGAACATGGGGCTGCAGTTCCAAAAGTGTGACTTTGACAAGACCGGAGAGGCCGACCCATTGTCTGCACCAGCTGTGACGCAGGGGTCTGTGTGAGAAACAGGTCCTTGTTATGCTGCCGAGTCTGTGCTGCTCACATTTTCTCATTTAATGATTACTTTTCTATTCTAGATCTCCCTTCCCCCCTCAAAAGTCTGGAGAAGAGGCAATCTTGTATCTAAAAGAAAGTTACTATGTTAATTAAGCATTTCATAGGTATGAGCAAAAATATTTCATTGATCTGGTTATTTAAATCAAGATATGGTGGTGGTTGTCCATCCTGGGCAGTATTAAGCTCTAAAGTGCTTATTTTATATAAGAAACTTTTTGTTGGTAGCTGGAATAATTACCTTGTTTCCTAAAGAGAAAAACTAACAAACCGACATCTTTTAAGCATTGTACTTTGGCAAGACCATGGGTTTAGCTTATCCCAAAGAGTAATTTCCACAGCGATGACTTTGGTCTTCTTTGATCAGAGGTGGTTTGTGTTTAGGAAATTACAAGGTGCCCTGTGAGGCAGGGTTTTATGAGGCTAAAAGGTTTTCAGTACATCCTGATATGCTCAGATTCAAAATACTGGCCATCTCCTTTCTTGTCTCTTCCCTCAAAACCTTTGTACTCAAAAACAATAAACAATTAAACATTTTTTGCTTGATATTGAGATAGTGACAGTTCATTTGCCCTAATAATAACTTTCCTTTGCTCAATGAAAAGATTTGGGGATATATATTTCAGTGTTGCAGCAAGAGAGATGTTGATTGTAATCTCCGTCTTATTGTTTAACTTTTCCACAGCATAGAAAGAATATTTAAGCAAAGGAAAAAAACAACAACAAATGTTTATGCACCTGTGTATGAATTTGACAGAAAGGGATGTAGGTAAACAGATTTGGTATTTTAATATTGTCTCATATGTGATGCGCTATGTATAGCCTAGGACGTTTTTAAAAAGTGGGCTTAATCTAAGATCTAGAGAAATTTCTGATGAGATCGATTTATTTGGTTAAGAAATATTTTTCTTGAACCCTTTTTTGAAAAAATGATAACACTCCATGTTGCCACAACATGTGTACTGAAATGCAAGAGCAATTACAGGCAAAAACCTGACAGGTGCAATTAGCAGGACATGAAGTGGCAGGCCTTGAACCTGAACTGTCAATTAAACATTTGCATTTAGAATTCTTAGTTCTTTGACTTGTTAGGAAGGTTGGGAACAACAGGAAAGCCATTTAGACGTGAACAATGAGAGGAGGATTATTACCACTTAATGTTCTTTCAGAGGACAAACTGCTTACTGGAAAATGGACCCTGGCCACTCCTTGTCATCACAGGTTTGCAGAATTAGTTCCCTTTCCTTTTATGAAACCTATTCGACATGGGATCAAACAATACTCTGGCAAGAATCCTCTTATATACACAATGAAAAGCTATTTCCGAGCTCTGCAAGTGAAAACACAAGTGTGCCACTCTTTTCACCGCAACCGAAAGGTAGGAATTCATTTGGCTAAAGCTCGCAGGATTTCATAATGGCTTTAGTATTGAGAACTGTGGCACAATCAGCTGGAATTTCACTCTCTTTGCTGGGGTGGGTTTTAACCTGTCTTACAAACTACCTGCCGCATTGGAAAAACCGCAACCTGGACTTAAACGTAATGGAAAACTGGACCATTGGACTCTGGCAAGCCTGCGTCATTCGGGATGAAGTGGGGACGCAATGTAAGGACTTCGATTCTTTCCTGGCGCTGCCTGCCGAACTCCGGATCTCCAGGATTTTAATGTTCCTGTCCAATGGGCTGGGATTTCTGGGCTTGCTGGTCTCTGGGTTGGGGCTGGACTGCTTGAGAATTGCAGAGAGGCAGCAAGAGCTCAAGAAGCAGCTGTTAATCCTGGGAGGGATTCTGCTCTGGACCGCCAGCCTCGCAGCCCTCGTGCCGGTCTCCTGGGTTGCCCATGTGACCGTCCAGGAGTTCTGGGATGAGACCATCTTGGAGACTGTGCCCAGGTGGGAGTTTGGGGAAGCCCTCTTCCTTGGCTGGTTTGCTGGGTTCTGTCTCCTGCTAGGGGGGTGTCTGCTCATCTGGGCAGCATGTTGTGCCCAAGCTCCTCTGGCTTCCGGCCACAGCCCAGCGGCAGAGGCGCAGTGCCTCCGTCAACACCTGGAGATGAGAAACACCCACCTGCAAATCTAAGCCAGATGGGGTCAGAGGCGTCCACTCCTCGCATGGGTGCTGGCTGCAGGCTGGACAGGGGAGGGTTTCCTGCTGCAGTTACCACGCTCATGAGTTTTCAAAATGCACGTGGCTATCAGCTGCTTAAACTACAATTTCTTTCTAAGACAATAAACCACTTTTATCTTCTACTCTTTGAATCCAAAACCAATCAAGACTTAATAGTGATCAAGCTCGTTACTGTGGATGAGTTTTCTCGATTTTAACACAGATTCTGTGATTGCACAGAGCTAGCAAATAAAACATTCTATCAGTACTTACATGTCTTTGAAGGTGTTCTTCATAGGGACACATCATCCTGGCAATGGGAAATGCTACTGCTAATCATGTCTTCCAAGTGTTTAAGATCACCTAGTATACAGAAACAGTCTCATTGTGTATTTATTTAAGATGTATGACATCTGATTATAACGTAAAAAATTGCTGCTTCTTTGGAAGCTTGAGAGGTGAGAGCCATGGGCACGTCGGCTCTTTAATTAGAGACTTCAGGGTCCCTGTGGAGCCTGTCCCTTGAGTGGGTCACGTTCACTCCTGCTTCTGCATGATACCAGGAGCAGCCACAGGGGGCGCTGAAGAGCAGCATTGGAGTGTGCGGACCGTGAACCTCCTGGCCCGCTGGCCCTGGAGGTGGGGTTTTACTTGCACAAGGAAAATGCTCCTTTTTTTCCCTTTTAAATCAGCAATACAAACCGTCCAACCAAGTATTCACAACAAATTGCTGGCTTGGGGAATTCTTCATGAAAGATTTTATGTTTGTTCGGTACACGGTTCAAGTAAACTTTTGTGTTTGAGCCAACCAGGGAAATTACCTCAACAACAAAGGACACAAATAAAGTCTGAGGCAATTTGTATCTTTGTTGAAAAAAAAACCCACTGAATTTTTCCCCCCACAAACACATGAAAAGTGCAGAAACCAGTTAATCTATGTGATGTATTTGCACACGTTTACAAACAAAATTAAAACAGAAACATATTCAGAATTTAACCTGATTAAATATTTAGTTCAGTCCTGAGCTTTTGATATTTAATACAATATAGATAAAGTAATAGCAAAAAAAAAAAAGATTTTAAATTTATTTGATTTGCATGCTACAGAGATTCAGCTAAACATTGTTCATTTGGCTAGCAATATTCTTTTTGTACCTGTAATGCTTAGATTCTGATATACAAAATTGTAATAACATACTGATAATTCAAACTTGAGAACTAAATATTACATTCTTTTTACCCTGTGCAGAATAAATTCTACCTTTAAAAAATAGTATTTATAATATTAAAATTCATATTGTCCATATGGTTTTGTGATCATGTTATTAAAGTGTTTTGTCACTGTGAATCATTTGGGTTAGTACAAATATGACAGGATTGTTAAAAGCTGCCTATAAATACATAACACTATTACTGATTTTTAAAGTGTGAAAAAGGATTATATTAAAATAAGTTTATCTCTCATGTTAGAAATGAGCAAATTTTGTAAAATAAAACTGAAAGCATCTTGGTCACAAGTGTTAACTACCAGCCTGAGACAGATTTTATTCTTTTATATTTGTCTGAAACTTTTTGTATCACAAAAAGTTAACAACTAATCTGATGAAGATTTATAAAGCTGTAAATATTCCCATATAGCCTCTTCTATGTCAAACATTTAAAATGGCCAGAACCGAACTATATATTAAACAGAACATAAATAAGACCGTAAATAAATAAATGAAGAAAATAAAATCGTACGGTACAACTACACATAATTCTATAAACATTTTCGTGGTCAAACTAAGAAGCTGAAAACAGCTGACCTTCATTTAATTCTACATTAAATAAACTTCTGTCTTTCCCATTGGACCTTGACCAGGACGAATGGCATTCTTTTTCCGGTTCCCCTCAGTCATCCGCTCGAATGGACTGGCCAACCCGAAGGGCTGTGCCCAGTCCCTTCACAAGGCTGGTTTTTTGCTCAAAGTAGTGTCACGTCCAGTTACAGCTTTGAAGACATTCGTGTATAAGTGGTGGGACACTTAGGAAAAATAATTAAAATCCTAGGCTCAGACATGGCTTCATTTGAATTTTGAGTCTGGTAAAATGAACTTCCTAAAATATGCGCGATGACTTTCAAGACAATAAAAGCTCTTGCTAATGAGGACTCTAGCTTAGAAATAGAACCTGCGCATGCGTGTGCGTGCATGTGTGCCTATGTTTTTAAAGGGGCCCATTCCTTCAAGATGACATTTGCATTTCTAAAAAAAATGGATGTAGTTTGCTATAAAAAGATGGCTAACCAAAATGACCTCTTTCAGTATTATAGAGTAATAAGTATGATAAATTGCATAAAACTATTTATTTTAAAAGCCTTTCTGTTGGCAGAGCTACACTGAGGTTTTGTTTCTTTTAAGAAGTGCTTGGGTTGGGTCAGCTAAAATTCTACACCAGGAGACCCTTTAGCCAGGTCATGTCTCTAAACTTGTTCATCTGTAATGGCTTTTTTTTTTTTTTTTTTTAAAACAAATGACTTAGCCTGTATTCAAATTAGGAATCTCCCCAGGCACTCTCTTCTCTTTGCCTCCCAACTCCTCACCACAAGGTATAGATAGGACCCCTTACATGAGAGCTGCAAAGTAATTGCTTACGCAATGTCACCGATCTGTTTAATGAAGGATTTAAAAATTTTTTTTGGCAACTTTGATTCAATCAAGATACTCTTTCCTCTCTTCCTGGTTTCACGGAATGAGCGCTGATGCATTTCCCTCCACGTCATCAGAATGTCTGTCCTCAGATCTCGGGCCACCACATTCTTCTGACACCATCCTCAAACCTCGGGCATAACATTATTGTGCAGGCCAGAAACTCACGCCTGAACGCTTTCCCCAACTCGGGCCGAGCTGGGCGCCTTTATCGGTGTGCGGCAGGGTGCCTGGCTTTCTCCTTGCCTCTCCTGCCCTCCATGTCAAATGTCACGGGGTCTTTAGCGCAGCCAGGAGCACTGCTCCTTTGTTTGCATTCTTCTGTCCTTGAACTCAGCATTTTGTTTTTGTTTCCCGCAGACCAACAGAAAAGGACAAAAAAGAGACTGTTTTCAGGAAACAGTCTCTTTTTCCTTAGGTGCGATCATGTTATTAACCTGACCCAGGTGATGGAAATGAACGCAGGTGGCTTGGAATTCTGCACCGAAGCTCACGGTTAGCTTCCAAGGGCAAAGAGCTGGTCTCTGGGACAAAAACACCTCCCGGCACTCTGGCCAGCTCCCTGGTCTACTGAGGGGAAAGCAAAGGAAAAGCAAAAGCCACTTTGTGCGAGTTCTTTCTCCAGAGCCGGGTCAGTAAGATTTACCCTGGGTCCTGCCTTGAATTCATTTTTACAAAATAAAGCCCATTGGTAATACACACATACTGTACAACATCTGTGTACCAGGTTATCCCATTTGGTTATCTGATTTTTTTTTTTGCTTTTTTATATAAAAATTACATTCAAGGTACTTTACAAATTACCATGTTGAGATCCTGACGTGAAATAAAAGCTCCTTCAGAGTTGACAGTTAGAGTACACCCCGCCCCCCCACCAGACAGACCCATGGAACCAATGTTCAGTCTTCTGTCCTCCCGAAGAAATGAACAGGCGAGGCACTTGTTGCCTCAGCGCGGGCGTCACACGTCGTCCGCTGGCAGGGACGGGATGCTGATCTTCGCCCTGGTGAAGTAGGCGATCTTCTCCCTGGAGTCGGGGTGAAGAACGAACTCGCTTCACTACGATGCGGACAAGGCTCCATGACCATGAGAAGTGGTCCCCAGACTTCCAGTGGCGCCTCTGCGAGCCTGGGCAGCAGGGACACCTTTCCTGAGGACGCCACTGCTCAAAAGCAGGAGGGCTTCTGGCCTTGCAGCAGGGTGCGGGGGCGGGGGGCGCGGGGGGACAGCTCTGGCTCTTCCCGTCCTCTAGGCCAGACAGGGCCTGCCCTGCCGGGATTGCTTACTTCCCTTGACAAGTCAGAAGGCCAGGGGATGGGGGGGGGGGGGCTCTTGATTCTAAGGGGAACGAGTGGCTGGGGCAGAGTCCCGGAGGTCAGGCCGGGGCCCTCGGGCCCCTGTCCCTCACCACCAGGCCCGCCCCCACCCCGCTGCGCCAGGAGCACCTCGGCCTCACCCTCTGTCCCCATGTCTCCGCCAGCCTCACAGCGGTCTGCAGGCTCCTCTCTGTGCCACAAGTGCGTGCATCGAAAGCCAAGCCCACAATAAACCAACAAAACAAAAGCTTTCCTTTCTGTGGCCTCCTCTCGCTCGGCTGAAATGTCCACGGATGGTCACCAGTGGCCTCCTGATCGCCCAGCTGGTGGGGGGCGGGTTTTAATCTTCCGCTTCCCCGATGCGATGCACGGGCCAGCGGCAACAGCCTCCCCGCCCTCAGCCCCAGGACCGCGCTCTCTCCCCGTTCTCCTTTGAGCTCCTCCTCGCATCCTCTGGGCCGCCAGCCGGCGCCCACCGGCCTTCTGTCCTGGCTGCCTTTCCACGTTTTCTGGGATGCCTGACCCGTTTGCATTGATAGAACCACCGTATATAGGATGAAGACCCCATTTTTATCTCCCATCCTAACCCTTTAATCCTGGCTTTGGATTTTTCCCTACTGGTCCTCTGGCCACAGTGACCCAGGCTGTCCTACTGGAACTGCCAGTCTCCTGTGTCCACAGGCCCGCTGCCGGCGCCCCCGGCGCAGGACAGTTGGTGGCCTGGGAGGCCCTGGGCCTGTACGCCTGCCCCCGCCCGCCTGGCGGCCCTCCTCTAGCCCACCGCCCGGCTGCCTGAGACCCTCGCCCCCAGTCCTCTGCTGATCCCCACACGGCCTCTCCCGGACCCCCCACTGCCTGTGCCCAGCCCCAGCCCTGTCACCCAGGGCCCAGCGCGGCGCGTGGCCTATGGGGGCACCCAAGAATGGCTGCCAGTGGGTGAACAACCATACCCCGAGATAAAAGCCTTTTCTGTACTTTTCTGTGTTCTGCCTCAGGGTGAGTCCAGGAGATGTGCTAGCGGCTTCTGAGAGTGGGGACACCTGGGTCACCCAGGAGCTGGGCTGCTGCCCGTGAGGGTCACCGTCAGGAGGGAGCCAAGGGGACTGCCTGTCCAGGCTGGGCATGGAGGACAGGGGTCCGGCGCCCGGCACTCTGAGGTGAAGCTCTGCTCAATTCAGGCGGGTGAGGACACCCCGAGGGGGACCGTGTAGGGCGTTTACCTGAAGGACTGCACCTGCCGAGGCACCTTCCGGCTCTGCTCCCGGAGCCGGCACACATCCTTGGAGACCTGCCGCATCAACTTCTCCGCGTTCAAACCTTGCTTCTGCTCTTCTTTGGACTGTTCAGCCTGGCAGAGGAAATAAAACCGCAATGCAGGTTTCAATAAACCAAGTCACAGCGCATCTGGGCAGGGAGAAAAATGACGGTGGCTTCTGTTACTAAGAGTAAGAGCAGCAGGATGTGAGTCCCAGCGCAGTGCTTGGGTCGCTGAGTTCCTCCGGCAACCCCGTTAGAATAGGAGGGAGGGGGAAGAGGAAAGTCACCCAGAGTCAACCAGCACCAAACATTTTGTCTGGAATTCTTTTTCTTTTCTTTTTTTCCCTCTCTTCTTCCTTCCTCCCTCCCTCCCTTTCCTCCGTCCTTCCCTCCATCCCTCCCTCCCTCCCTTTCTTTTTTCACCACCCTCCCTTTCTTTTTTTGAATAAGGAAATGTTTCTTGGTGGAGGAGGCACCAACCAAGAAGATGGGAGACCTGGTGGCGCCTCAAATCCATATCAAGAAAGTACAGAATGCAAGTTTCTTTTATGTCAAGGGAAGGAGAAATGGAAGGGGCAGGGGATGATTGACAAGCAAAGCCATCTCGGCACCAGCAGGGGTTCAAGGAAGACTGTGCTGGTTGATGCGGGTCCACAGGGTTCCTGCAAACCTTTGATGAGCGGTACACACTTCCCTTATCTCCTCAAGCCATGAGCAGAATTCCTCGAATGACTGGCATGTTCATATGCCAGACAAAGCAGGAGCTCCTAGCCCGGAGGCCGCGGGGGCAAAGCAGGCTGGGGCGCGGTGGAGGCGGAGGGCCTGGCATGGTGCTGTCACGTCATTTCGCACAGCCGTGTCCTCCCGCGCACGAGGCCTGTTGTTCCTTCTTTCATGCATGTGAATGGAAGAACCTGGCATTCGCTCCCCCATCTTCTGACAGTGCTTGTTTTTAACTGAGCAACCACTTGGGCCCTGTTCTCAGTCCAACTGTTTTTGGTGGGACCGACCCCCGTCCACACCTCATGGCCGACTGATGATAGAATTCCTCTCCTTGAAGCAGCTTCCCAAATAAACGCCCCAGCCAACTCACTGTCTCCTGACATCTAAATCAGATTTTTTTTTTTCATTTCCATCAGATGGAAATAACGACTGCTTTGAAGTACGTGCTGACAAGACTGCTGGTAGATGACGCCACTTCCCTTCATGGGGACACACGCCTTACAGTCTGCAGTCCCACTTCGTGGAAGCTACGTCCCTGCCTGGGTGCACCCTACGTCCCTGCCTGGGTGCACTCTCCAACCCTGCTCATGACAGTCTCCTGCAGGGACCCTGATTTCTTTCCCCACGAGGGTTTTTATTGCTACCCCCTTCCTCCCGGTTTTAAAAAACTTTCTTTAGAAAAGGGGTCTATATCTGTTAAGTAACAATTTTCTCTTGAGTATTTCATAATCGATCATACAGTTTCTCTGTCAGTTGGAGTTCTGAATTTCTGTAAATCGAATTCAAAGGGGACAAATGTGATATTTTATTTCCCTTGTGAAGACGGATCTTTAGTAAATGGATGATCTTTCATTAGGTCCCAGGTAAGGAACTACTGACTTGGTACACAGAGAGAAATGACTTCTGCCATGACGTGAGACACCCGGTGAGTGACTTAGTAACTATACTGCAGGATGGCGCTGTTCTAGTTCCTGGCAGCTTAGGATCTGAAACTGGCCAACTGCTTACTGACTTGAACAACAGATAGGTCAGTAAATGCCTGAGAAGGAAGGTATCTGCTTCTGACCCAGGTAAAAAAATCTGACCCAGTTTCCCCCAGAAAATGTATTTTATCAGACCAGAGATACGGCGGCCCCGGGCTTCCGCCTCCTTCCCCATGAAGGGACTCCTAGGTCTATTTCATCCCCCTGAGGCACTCGTCGGACAGGCCCTCTGAGGCGCCTGATGGCTGCAGACATTTTCGACCAACAGCATTTTTGTGGGAACTATAAAGTTATTTTGAAACTTGGCTTTGTTTGCTGCAAGACAAACTGACCACACAACACGTGAAGATGTTCCTTTTTCTGCTGAGTAAGTATATACTTCACTGAGGTCTACACTGGTCTCCGCATTTATGTATTTATATCTGTACTTCTATCTATATCTTTTTCCCAAAACTTGGGTGACAAAATATATCACGAGGTTTTTGTTGGTTGTTAATAATCAATAGCAGCCAACTTTTCAGGCAGTTAAATCTCAGCGGCGCATACCCCATTGCAATCATTAAGATTAACTTGGTTGAGTGAGGTGTGTTAATCGCTCTGATGCATAATTTTCTTAGCAGATTCTTTTGAAAAGGTGAACGTCTGTCTTATTTTAAGCTTTCAAAAAGTGTAGCATCACAGAGCATTGGCTTTTTGACAGGGACTCACTCCGAGGAAGAACAATAAATTTGGGCTTTGTGGGTGCCCTGAGGCTCCTTCGGAAAGACACCAGCCCTCCCCCAACAAGTTGTGATGAGGGGCCTGGTCCCCGAGGATCGAAGACCCTTGGTCCCCCAGGGCAGGGCGCAAGCCCCAGGAGCCCCAGTTCCCCTGGCGCCCCCAACCGTGCCCACCAGCCAGCCTCCCATCACTCTTTACAGTCAAGGGGAAACCCTTTACTTTAGAGAAATCTGGCTCATCTCCTTCACCAAACCTCAGTTCTGTAAGTGTCCAATTACCCGGTTGTCCGCTGGAGTGTCAGAGGTAAGCTCTGCTCCCCACTGGACAGACGTTTACTGAGACCCTACCGTGTGTGGCGGTTTCTTTCTACCAGGTGGGATATAATACAGATACGTAATGCATTTTGGTGCTTAAACTTTCTTTAAAAATTACTGGTACCCGTTTGACCCCTGAAATTCATACAATAAGTTTCTGAGTTCCATCTAGCATTAGAAGTGCTGGTCAGTTAAATGACTCAAAGTTTCCCTAAAGCACCATACACTATATGATGAAAAAAGAACTTTGGGCCAAAAAGAGAATTTTCTATTACGGACAAGAGTTTCTACTGGTTTAAGGGACTGACTAGTCTATTTCAGATTTCCATCCAAGGAGGTGTGTGTGACTCAGGCACCTTCTACCTGGAGGCTTTAAAAATGTTACTCCAGCCCTGGCTGGTGTGGCTCTGTGGACTGAGTGCTGGCCTGTGAACCAAAGGGTCACCGGTTTGATGCCCAGTCGGGGCACCTGTCTGGGTTGCAGGTCAGGTCCCCAGTAGGGGGCTCCTGAGAGGCAACTACACTTTGATGTTTCTCTCTCTCTTTTTCTTCTTCCCTTCCTCTGTCTCTAAAATTAAATACATAAAATCTTAAAAAAACCACCACGTTACCCCATGTCAGCCCCCTCCCCGGAACACCCCGGGAACCGCACCTGCTTCTCGGCCTGCTTCAGGAGCTGCTGGAACCCCTCGTCCTCCAGCACGCCCGGTGGGAGGCCCGTCTCTCCCTGGGCTTTCAGCGCCTCCAGCTTCTGCCGCAAGCCCCGCAGGGCCTGCAGCTCATCGTTGAGGCGGCTCTGGCGCGTCAGGGAGGCCTGGAGGTCCAGCTCCAAGTCCAGGGACGTGCGCTCGGGGCGCTCTTGCGCTGCTCTCCTGAGGACGGGCTGGCAAACCGCCTGCACAGTTGGGAATCAAACAACAGACCCCCGTCACAGGGCTGCTCCTGCTTCCTGGCGCGCGCTGGGCGGCACTGCCGTGCCCCCTGGGTGAGGCGTGACCAGCCAAGCGACCCGCTCCGGCCAGAGGCAGGCCCGTGGGAGTGGTGTGTGTCGCTTCTGGGAAAAAGATTTTCAACACCAGTGTGTGACTTGTACATTTCTGTCACCTGCCGGAGGGACAGCAAAGATCCAGGGAAGGGCCTTGGTGGGCACAGCAGGAGCAGAGCACCCGGCACCAGCTGCAGGGAACAAGCAGCTAAGCAAGACATACACCTTGATCATTTCAAACCTCCGAGATGTTCCCAGCTGCTACCCTAGCAGAGCCTCGCTTAGCCTGGCCGCCTGACTACACGAAGGCCGCCCCCGGGACAATCCGATCCATCACAGGAAGCTTTCGTTTCCCTCACTGCCGCGCGCATAACTACGCCGGTGTGCACACGCTCTGCGACCATTTCTGTGACTGTCAGCCGGAAGGCAGCTGGTCCCGGAGCTAAGAATCGGACTCCCTCCTCCAATCGGGGCTCCAATCCTGGCTCCTCCCTTGTCAGTTTCCCACTGTCCCTTATCTGCTCTCGCTTCCCGTCACTGGTGTCCTCCTGCAACCAGCCTCCGCCACCTACCGAGAAAGAACCTGGACATGCACAGATGAGCGTCTGCTGGGGGTTTGGAGGCAAAGCACTTGGAAGAGAAGACACAGTATGGGACCCTGAGGGCTTCCATCAGGGACTGCAGGAGACACTGAGGTAGTGACCTTTGTGCCACAGGAAGTGAGCGACGTTCGGCCTGGGGCAGACTGGCTTAAGGAAGGGGATGCAGACGAAAGATGGCACCAAGACAGGAGGCCGCTTCTTGCCTACACTGTTGGCGACCCGAATGGAAGATAAGAGATCACTGATAAAGGCTGGTGCTATCTGATACGAGAGGGAAGGGGCTCCAACTCGAGACGTGGTCTGGCCTGACGATCTGCCACAACGAGGCGCTCATGACGGATGGAAGGGAGGGGGCCCCCCTGCCCCTTTCGTGTTTCAGAGCCGTGGCCCTGGTCTGCCTTCCTTTCTTGGTCTCCGCCTTGTGCGGTCCATGCTGCCGTGGCGTCATTCCCTCACGTTCTGTGACATTCTCTTCCTCAGGTTCCCTTCATTCAGCCTCTGCTTTAGCAAACCCGTTCCACAGCCGAATCACCCGGACACGTGCGCTCTGATCGCTCCTCGTTTTTCACAGTCGGAGCCCCTTCCCGGTTACCGCGCACATGTAGCCTCTCTCAGGGCACCACTGTGTGGCAGCCTGAGGGCAGGCCAGTGGTGACCGCCCGGCTCACTGATCGGCAGGGCGGGCCTCGTTCCTTGGCGTGACTACTCTCGCCAGCCAGTGCGAGGAGGCCCCAGCACCCACCCCAGGCCTCGCGCCTGGCGCTCGGCTTTTCCGGTCGGGCGAACCTTTCGCTCATCTTTGCAGATGGTTTTTTCTTACATCTCTGCACCTTTTTCATGAGGCAACTCCTAAATCAGAATAGTGTTTCCCATTCACTTCTACCAAACCTCTGTCTGGTTGGAAAACCATTGAACAATCATCTCCTCCACAACGTCTTAGGATTAATCTTTGTCTGGTTCAGCCAGTTCTACGTTGAACCAGTGACCTGTCTTCCAGCTCCGCTGGACGGGTAGACCCTTCCGCTTAAGTCGTTGCCGCACAGGGTTCCCGCCCCCTGGAGGTACGTGCTGCTGCCGGACGCCAGCGGCGCACGAGGGACTGAGAGGAGTTTTCATTCGAGACAACGTAAATCTAGCTGCTTCTGAAGGATCAAGTTTGACAACCTCCAAGATCCACGCCTCAAAATTCCCTGAACATGTTGCTGTTAAGTAATAGTATATTTGCCTTTAGAAAAAGAAGTAAGCTTATCACTTTCAAGTAACCAGGACCTTAAACCAGGGGACCCAACATTGCCTGGCCACGCGCGCGGGGCTTTGCACACGGCGGCATTTGCCCCGAGCCAAAGAGCATGGCTCCGCCCTACCGTTCCAGTCGTCGCCCCCAATGTGTTTTCCTGCCCCCTCACCCCTCGCCCTGACAGAGCTTCCATTTTCTTTTGAAATTTTATCCGGGTGTCAAGGCCACAGACTCTCAACGGTTCCATGGTCCCACAGCAGGGAGCATGCCCTCCTTACCCGCCACTTTCGGGGTCCCGTGTGCCCTCTGAGGCCCCCTGAGATGGAATCGCCCGCGGCCGCGCCCCCCACAGCCCGGCACAGCCAGGGCTGCGTGCCTACTAACCACGCTTTAAGCTGACACGAAACAGCCTAGCAAACTATTACTAAAACAGATCATTAGTGAACAAGTAACTTCCCGTGAGTATTTTGGCTGTTGGAAAGTAAACAGGAATTTCCGAACTACTTGAACTGTCCACCCTTTTCACTAATTTAACTCTTCTCTCAGTGTATCCTTTGAAGGCCACCCAGAGACCTGTGGCCTCCAGGAGAACCTGACTTGAGCTTCTCTGCTGACGTGAATGTTAACTAAAAACACCCCTTTTTAAGCAAGTCACTAGCACCGCGTTAGTCCTTTACCAGCGCGCATGGCCTCGGCGGAGGGACTGGCTGTCCCATGTGTCCCGCCACTGCTCCCACCAGAGCCAGACGTGGCGGGGGAACACGGCGGCCATTGGTTGGAACGTGGGCGACCCACTCAGCCGCCCCTTCTCCATCGACACTGCAAACCGATCTCCTGCCTTAGCCTGGGACCGAACGCCGTGATGCAGGAATGGTCTGCAGCGTGTCCCCTCTCCATCTCTGCCATGGATGCATTTGCGGCTCCGACATCACAGCGGCTTCATTCAGCAGCCCGAGAGCGAGGAGCAACGGCAGGCAACAGTCCTGGTGTTTACGCTTCGCAGCCAGGACTCCGGACGGGGCGGGGGCAGCGGGCTGTGGCTGAGGGAATACGTACCCTTTTGACCCTCAGACTGCGCCGTTCAGTGGAGTTTCTCACAAACAGAGATTTTTTAGCCAGGGTTGAGCTGTCACTGTCACTTCGATTTAACTGGCAATAAAAGATAAAAGAAAAAAGTAAAACGCTGCAAACAGAGTGCTAGAGGAAGCTGACAACTGAGCGTTTATCAAATAAAGCAGGTGGTGATAGCAGTTTATTTCTTACAGAAAAGCCTCCCCAAACAAGCCTTTCTCTGCTGTATGCTTTCTTAAATAACTTCATTATTTTATGACCTTTTCTTCTAACCTTACAACAGAAACTCATAAATAATTTTAACGATTGCCTTTTGGTGGCAGTTATCAGGAGCCCTGTGTTAAGACAATCATACATGTTCTTAAATAAAGTTACCCTTTGCATTTTCAGCCCATATGCAATATTTGCTTTCAAAAGAAGGGCTGCTGGGCAGGGCTCAGAACCAGAGTGAAGACACAGTCGGCCCAGTCTAGAAGACTCTGAGCCAGAGAGACCACCTTCGCTCCCTCGCCAGCTTCAGGTCTTCGCCGAAAGGTCACCTTGGCAATGAAGCCTCCTCTGAACCCTCCTTCCATTCGCGACCCTTGTCCTCCCCACGCCCAGGTCCTCGTTTTCACTGCCCTGGTCCCCATTCAAGACATTTATTCATCGTTTTTACCGCTCATTGTTGGGCTGGACTCCCAGGAATGTGGGTTCTATGAGTGTAGAGCTTGGGTCTCTATTGTTTACAAACCCCAAGCATCTAGAAACACGCGTAACAGCAGGTGTTTCACAAACACATTGGTTGGATCGAATGAGTACATTTTAACAGTGTTTCCTCATTCGTTTTATAATATTAAAACTTTATTACTCTAAATCATAACTACTACTAGAAATTGAATCAGTAGGACTTACATAGTGTATAATATACAACAGAGATCTACAAAAGGTAAATCTCAAGTCACCTTAAGCGTCTAAATACAGACGGAAGTCCAAATATACTCAGCAGCCAGGTCCTTAATTTCACTTACTTGCCAAATAAACGGCACTAGAGCCAGTAAGACATTAAATTTAAGAAAAGAAAGGGGAGAAGAACCCCCCAAACCCAAACTGGAAGGAACCATTAGAGTGCGACGTTTACGGGTATTTTACAGAAGCATTTCCAGCGCTCCTGTCTGCAGCCGGAAGGTGAAGACCCTGCTGCCCGCGTCGTCCCGGGCGCCCGGCAGGCAGGAGCGCGGCCCTCACCCGGCGCGCGGTCCTTACCCGGCACACGTACTGGCTGCGCTCCCCCGGGGAGAAGGTCTGCGAGCGCACGATGACGCTGCTCCTCACCAGCGGGCGCTGCCGCGCGCTCCGCCCGCCGCGCTCTTTGGGCCGAACCGCCAGGCTGGTATCATCCGCCTCCTCCGTGTTTGTTTCTTTGTCAACCTGGGACAGAAGTCACTTGTCAGGAGCTGATGCACGTGGACACGCTTATGACCCTTTCTTCTAGCCCTAGGGCCACTTCGGAGAGAGGGCTTTGTGTATGCCTGGTGGGAAGCACGGGAGATGCGCCCAGGAGAGACGCAGGTGGGGGGAGGGGTAGGAGGGAGTGGGCCGTAGGGGAACATCTGTCTAACAGGGTTTCCCTTAATGGAGGCATCACCTGCAATAGATGAGCCCTAAAGGATGAAGGTTCACATTCACAGGAAATGTGGCTCCGTAAGCAAGTTTATGTGGGCACGCCTCATCATTCGCTATCCTGAAACCGATTCTTTTTTTTCAGAATAAATGATAAAAGTAATTCAATATAAGACAATGAACATGCACTACAAAGATACAGGTTTTCACAGACTATGCAATTATACACATACACCCATACGAAGTCTTCCATCAGGGTACGTGCGGTGTCATTTTTCTTGGGAATGAACAATGGAGATTGTCTAAACTTGTTACAACATCCCAAGTTTGCTGTCACCCTCAAAGCTCGAAATGATTCCCTCCCACGTGTCCATGTGCTTAGCAACGCAGCTGGCACCTGTGCTGCCTGAGTCGCCTGCGCCCTTCCAGGAGCGATTTCAGCCAGGACGCCATCTCACGGAAATGGGCTTTACCTGTGTGCTGCGTGTTTGCAATGGAAATAAACTTACAACATGCGTGAAACCCAATACGATTCAGTGGTCATCCTGGTGTTGTCCACGGAATTTGGAAAATGCTTTTAATAACTATTCACAGAACATGTACCAAGGTCTAAACAGCACTATTTTTCTTATATAAAAGTGGAGAATGAATATTTTGGGCCCATTTAAACATTTTAAAGCACTTGCAATGCTGCTTATAGCCTACTCCCGCAAGGGCCTGTCATGATCAGCTTCGGCACAAGGTCTTAACCTGGAATTATACCTGCAGAGACACACTTAGCTGACGGGAGCCCTGCCTTAGGAGGGAGAGGGCGGCGGTGACTACCCACCAGGGTGGGCCCTCCAGGCGGGGGCTGGCTTCCGGGGTCGTTGGCACAGCTGTTTCCTCTCCCACTCATGTCTTCGTTCGTCTCGGGCACACTCGGGCAGGCACCTGGGTCTGCTGTGTGGCTGCTGCCCTCTGGCCACGCACCTTCAGCCTCTTCTTCAGCTACAACTTCATCGGAGGCCTCTCGCAGCATTGTGAGCCTTCGGGGAAACAAAGCAGGACACACCCTGGTCACGTGGGTGTGGCCGTGAACAGGGTGACCTGGGCACAGTCACCTGTGACCGGCGCAAGGACCAACGGACGCACACGACGAGTCAAACCATTTCTTTGGCTGGGACTCTTATGAAAATGCTCATGAAAAATAAAATTCTCTCTAGCAGTCTACGGTGCAATCACCGTAGTTGGTATTAAAAAGTTAAGTTCGTGACATCGGACCCTAGTTCCAGAGATTAAAATAGAAATTGCAGTGAAAATCAAATATAACATTTAGGCCTGCCATTTAAAAGTATCGTCACCCACTATGACATAACGTGGTATTCATGTTCATTTCCTGTAAAATTAATCATACAGTGGAACAGAGTGACTCTGCTAAGAGTGAATAAATTCACGAGGGTTAAATGTATCTACTACCAACTGTGTTCCTGGTATAGGAGGGATTGGACCCTGTGGAAAGGGAGTTTTTCTACTGAAAGAGCACAAGACCTTCGTGCCACATCATCCTGTCTCCAACAAGCCATGGCACGGCCTCGAGGGGCATCACAAGTGGGGCTCCGGGATGTCAACGTGGGGTGTGTTCTGTTTAAACCCTTGTGACAGGAAAGCAAGTGCACCGGTGTGGTTTCCAGAACCGAATGCTCTGCTGAGTTTCGTGCTCTTGGAATGTAAACGCTTCCTCCACCGATAACTAAAAGTCGCGCTTTCATTGAGATTGGTGACGTACGGACACGTTGGCATGGGCCGGTAATTAGACGCCGCCATGAAATGAAGGGGGAGAACCAGCAATGAACACGGCGAGTCATAAATGCCTTTGTTACATACCAAGTGTATTTTTGACATGTGTGTGAAATAAATGCATTTTACGTACAGAAGGAAGGCTTATTATCTACAGACACCTTGATGAAGCTTCGAACCACTTTCATGTTGATTTGTTTGGCAGTGCTCTCGTTTTTATTCACTACAAAGGGCTTTTGATAAGAACAAAGTATATCTGTACCTCTTTACATCACTGTAGTCAACTGTGCCTTCCAAATGTCCATGATTTTTTAAAAAAGATTTTATTTGGTTTTAGAGAGAGAGGAAGGGAAGGAGAAAGAGAGGGAGCGAAACATCCATTGTCTGCCTCTCGCACACCCCCAACTGGAGACCTGGTCCGCAACCCAGGCGAGTGCCCTGACTGGGGAGGGCACCAGCGGCCTTTGGGTTCACAGGCCGGCGCTCAGTCCACTGAGCCACACCAGCCAGGGGCATGATTTTGTTTTTTATGACATACCATCATTCTACTGTATAAGACGTTTTATGTCCACATATACACACAAATGCATGCTATATATGTACATGTGCATACACGTATTAGAGGTACTTCAACCAAACATAACAATATAAGCAACTACATATGAAAATGAATTCCAATAATTTTACATGTATACTTACGAAACAGATGCAGTCACTAAAATTTGTTTTTAGAGAAAACAGTATAAACCAGGAAAGATATTGTTCTTTATACATATGTGACTGTAGACCAAAGCTATAATAGCCTTTTTATTTTTTTTAAAGAATGGGGTATGAATAATGAGAGGAGAACAAAAAATAAAGAAGCCGAAAGTGGAACAGATAGAGAGAGATCTGCTTTGACTTCCCAAAGCCTAACTGGCACTTCTGGTAGCTTAAATGAAAAGAGAGTCAGTTTTTAAATTTATCTATAAATCTGAAATAAGCTACCATGCCTTTCAGAATAGATAGTTTAGACTTAAAGTTTTAGGAGCTCAGGAGATAGTGACAACATTTACTGATGTGCGAACCCTGCTGCCGCTCCCGCCATCTCCTCCTCCAACTCTCTTATGACCGAGGACGGGTGTCCCCCAGGGGTGGCTCCCTGACACTGTATCGCTTCCCATGATTCCAGGGTTAAGAGCCAAACCTAGAAAGTTTTCCCTGAAAAATCCCGATGAGAAACTAAACACGTCCTCTTTGAGTTCCCAAGAGCAAGGGGAGCCGAGTGTCCTACCGATCTCCATCTGGACCCCTTTGCTCTTCTTCCTGCCCCGGGTCGTCTTCTTCTTGGGCTAGTTCTTGTTCCACAGCCAACAGCTCAGCTGATGTTCTTGCAAGCAAGGCTGACACTGCATCCTGGAGAATGTAAAACAGATGGCGATTAACAGTATACACTTCCAGATGTAATCTAAAAACTCATCAGATGGGGACTTCCAGTTGTGAAAATGCTGGTACTAGCCCCAGTTCTCCTGCTGACAATACGAAAGATGAATAAAATAGAACCAAACACAAAGAACACACACCCCAGCTGTTTTAAAGCAACAGAGAGCCACAAAGACAACCAGGCCTGGAGGGCCAAGATCCCAGGTGGAAGGGAAATGCGAGAAGGCGGATTGATGGTCACGGCCGCTCTCTTCCCCTGGGGCCATGTGTCAATTCTAGGGGTGAGGCATATAGACTCACCAGATGGTGGCTGCCCACAACTGCGCCAGGGCTGGTAGAATGCAAAGAGGGGGCCTGAGTTGAGGACTACCATGCAGTCAGCATGCAAGGGATCAGAGAAAATATACTCTAGAGTGAGCCCGGTTTTCTGAGCAGCCTTTCTGTTGGGGCTTTTGCCATTCCTAAGCTGCACATGTGCAAAGCAGGAAGCTGAGAAACAAGCAAAAACTAGCCGGTTGGAGGCTACAACACTAAGCAGAGATTTCAGTTGCCTCACCATTCTAGGGAGAGAAAAATTGGAATTCGGGTCCCCCAAGTGATCCAGGTGAGCTGCCCACATTGTAATCTGCCTTCCAGAAGAATATTAAATCCTCTCTGGAGGAAGCTATCAGCCAGAGCCTCTACACTTCTTCATACACAATATCCAGCGTTCCATGGAAAACAGGGCCCAGGGACTGAAAGCCAAGAGAAATGACACACAAAAGAGGCAGACCCGCAGGTGACCCACATGCTGCAGTGACGTAGAGAAGAAAGTTAAAATTTTACAATTAATAAGTTTAAGAAAACCGATGAAATGATGGAGAATTTCACTAGAATAAACACACACTCACACATCACATTAGCACATCAGAGGGCAATGGCTGAACGTCAAAGAAAAAAAAAAGAAATTTTACAAGCAGTGAAAGAAAAAAAGATGCATTACCTCTTAAGGATCAACAATTAACAATCTCTTCTCTGAGCATCCACCCCCAACCTTGGAAAACACTTATTTGGAAAGATATACGCACCCCCAAGTTCAGTGCGGCATTGTTCACAATAGCCAAGACATGGGCAATGTGCGTCCTTCGACAGGTGATTGGACAAAGATGCGATGCGTGCACACAACGGACCACTCTTCAGCCACAAACCTAAGAGGCACTTACAGAACACTCCGCCCCACAACAGCAGAATTCCCATTCTTCTCAAGTGCACGTGGCGCGTTCTTTAGGGTGGACCATATGCTAGGCCATAAAACTAGCCTCAGTATATTTGAAAGAACTGAAATCATTTGAACTATGTCCTCTGACCACACTGTAATAAAGTTAGAATTCAATAACAAAAAGGAAATAGAAATTAATCAGTATGTGGAAATGAATCAATATGTGGAAATAAACACGCTCATCAATAACCAGTGAGTCAAGGAAGTCACAAGGAAAATTATAAAACACTTAGACATGAACGAAAATTATAACACAATACACTAAATGTGAGAGGCCACTAAAGCAGTGCTCAGGGGCAAATTTATAGCTGTCGGCACCTATAAGAAAAAAGAGGAAAGATTTTGAGTCAGTAACTTAACCTCCTACGATAAGAAAATAGAAGAGCAAAAAAAAAAAAGTAATCAAAGGGAAGGAAAAACAGAACAGAGTGGAAATTCATGAACTAGAGAACAGAGAACTATTAAAGACAAATCAATGAAAATAAAAGTTGATTCTTTGAAAAGATAAAAAAATTTGATAAACCTTCAGTTTATCCAAGAAAACCAAGAAAAATAGAGCAAAAGCTTAAATTACTAATCAGGAATGAGAGACGGGACATCACTGTTACCTTTACAAATAGAAAATGGATTATAAGGGAATACTATGAACAACTGTATGCTAACCGCTGAGGTAACCTGGGTACAAGGGGCAAGTTCCTAGACAGACACAAACTACCCAGACTGACACACAGAACAATTCTGAACACACTTATAACAAGTAAAGACATCGAATTAGTAAACAAAGAACTTCCCCCAGAGAAAAGTCCAGGCTCAGATGGCTTCCGTGGGGAGCTCGACCAAACATTTAAAGAATTCATATCAACTCTTCTCAAGCTCTGCCAAAGACTAAAAGAGGCTGCAACCTTCCTAACTCATTCCCTGAGGCCAGAATGAAAACCAAACAAAGATATCACAAGAAAACTATGAACACAGACAAAAAGTCATCAAGAAAAAATAGAAAACTAAATCCAGGAACATATAAAAAGGATTTTACACCATGGCCAAGTAGGGATGTATCCTCGGATTGCAAGATCGGCTCAACATGTGAAAATCAATAAACCGTATGAATAGAATATAGGACAGAAACCACATGATCATGTCAATAAATGCTGAAAAGCCCTTGTCAAATCCAATAACCTGTAATGATGAAAACACTCAACAAACTAGGAAAAGAAGAGGCCTCCTTCAATCTGATAAAGGGCGTTTACAAAAGCCGCACAGCAGAAACCATGCTCCATGGCGGCAGATGAAGGCCTCCCTGAGGTGATCAGTACAAGACAAGGATGTCTGCTCTCACCGCTTCTTCCGTAGTGCACTGGGAGTTCTAGCCAGGGAACATGGGCACATGGGCACGGGTAAGAAAGGAAAAGCCATTTGGGAAGAAGATGTAAACTCACTCTGTTTGCAGAAGCTATAATCTTCTGCACAGAAAATCCTAGAATCCACTGAAAAACTACTAGAGCTAATAAATGAGTTCAGCAAGATTGCAGGATACAAGATCACTAGACGAAAATTAAGTGTGCAACAAATAATCTGAAAATGTAATTAAGAAATAGTTCTATTTGCAACAGTTATCAAAGTAAAATTAAAAGACATACACACAAACTTGGACTCTGAAAAGTACAAAACATTGTTGTAAGAAGGTAGGGAAGAGCTAAATAAATAAAAGACATCATGTATTCATGGATCAGGAGGTTTAACACTGTTAAGAGGACAATACCACCAAAGTGACCTACTGACTCAGTGCCATCTCTATCAAAATCTTAGTTGGTTTTTTTTCCCCCAGAAATTGACAATATGGTACTAAAATTTATATGGAAATGCAAGGGAACCTAAACAGCCCAAACCATCTGGAAAAAAAAAGTTTGATGACTTATACTTTCTGATTTCAAAATAATTGCTAAGCAATAGTAATCAAGGCAGTGTGCTACTGGCATAAGTATAGACCTGTAGATTAATGGAACAGAGTTTAGAGTCCAGAAGTTAAATGCTCACACTTACGGTCAATTGATTTTTGGCAAAGGTGTCAAGGTAATTCAATGGGGGAAAGAAGAGTTCTTTTTCAATAGACGGTGCCCACACACAAAAGAATGAACTTGGAGCCATTCTTCACATCACACATAAAAAACAAATGGATCAGAGACCTAAAAATAAAACTAAACTTTAAAACTCTCAGAAGAAAACACAGGAGTAAATCTTCGTGATGCCAGGTTTGGCAAAGCCTTCTTAGATAGGACATTAACAGCATAAAAACAAAAGAAAAAATAGGCGATTTTACTTTTATTGTGATTTAAAACTTTACTTCAAACAAAACCATCAAGAAAGTGAAAAGATAACCCATAGGATGAGAGAATAGATTTGCAAATCATTTACTGGGTAAGAGATTTGTATCAAGAATATAGGAGGAACGCTCTTAACGCAATAATAAAAAGATAACCCATTTAAAAATAAACAAGGGATCTGAATGGACAGCTCTCAGAAAAAAAAAATACTAAATATGAATAAGCTCATGAAAATATGCCCAACATCAAGAGGCATTAGGGAAATGTCACTTAAAGCCACGGCGACACCTCTTCACACCCACTAGCACGGCTAGAATCAAAAAGACAGATGAGTGAGCTGGGCGAGGGGGAGGGGACTGGCACCCTCCCACGTCGCTGGTGAGAATATGAAGCGATGCGGCCACTCTGGAAATCAATTCGGTGGATCCTCAAAATGCGAAACACAGAATTATACGACCCAACAATTCCACTCCTCGGTATGTCCCCAAGAGAAATGAAGACACACATAAACTCTTGCACACAAATGTTCAGAGCAGCATTATTAATCAGGGTAAAAAGGTATAAACAGCCCAAATGCCCACCAGCTGGTGAACAAATAAAAGGTGATACATCCTCGCAATGGAATATTCTTTGGAAATAACAAGGAGCGAGATACTAATACAGGTTACTATATGGCTGTATCTTGAAAACATCATGCCAAGTGAAAGAAGATAGTTACAAAGAACAAATACTGTAATACTCCCCTTATATGAAGTGTCCGTAATAAGCACATTTATAGAGACAGAGAGAAGACCAGTGGTTGCCTTGGGTGAAGGGGGGTGGGGAGAACCGGGGGTGACAGCCAGCGGATGGGTACAGCCTTCCTCTGGGGACGATGACGATGTTCCGACTTTGGGTTGTAGCGATGGCTGCGCAACTCCGTGAATGAACGACAAACTATTGAACGGTGTGCTTCCCGTGGGAGAACTGCACACGTGACAGGGGTGAACGGTATGTTTTGTGAATTACATTGCACGATGCTTGAAAAAAAACTTACCCACATGGGACCGTTACAAAAGCCTCGTAAGGCCTTACTCAGTGTCCACCCTCAACCGGGATGCGTCATGTGAGCTCCGCCAACACGCCGGTTTCCCTCCTCCCCACCGACCCCAGGGTCCACGACAGGCTCTTGCACAAAGATCAATAGAGCACTGCTGCTTTAATTGTCTGACTTATGCGTAGTGAAACCTTTCCTCATAGAGAATCTAAAGTAAGCGTGGAGGCAGTAACAGTATCCCGCAGGTGCCTAATTGGCAGTGAACGGCCTCACACTGAAGTATGGCCGTTGGCTACAGCGCACTTTTTAATAGAAAATCTTTGAGGAGATAGATGTTACTAATAGAAACTGAGACACTGGTTAGGCTTAATAATGTTTAACATGTGCAAAATAGAACAGCTCCAAATGTACAGCTTGACAGCGAAATGATGTCTGAAAATATAAACTTAAATCAAAAGGTTTTTTGTGGTCACTTAAAACGAAGAAACCTCCACATCAGTTTGTGTTTATGGAAGGAAGTGTGAGCAGAAACAAGTGATTCTTTCCTAAAGTCTACCTGGAACAGAGCTGGAAATTCTCTCTTTTTTAGGAAGCTGGGAGAAAAGGGCGCGCTGCGAATGGAGAAAGGGAAGGCAGTGTGTGTGAGTGAGAGCACACTGGGGTCACAGCAGCGCGCACTGCGCGTCACCTTACCAAACCGTGACGACCGTTTCCCGGGGTCTGACTCACCAAGTCTATAGGATCCACTAACGGCGGGTTTGGTTGAAACACAGAATCCTCATGTTCATCCCCATTCTTTTTGGAAGGCATTTGTGTAGAAGGAAGCAAGTTATACCACAGAGTGAAGCTCTCGTTGGACAGTGGTAAGTCTGCCAAGCTGATCTGGGTCCCAGCCTGTGTGAAGAGAAAGGAAAAAAGAGAGAAAACAAAATGTTTACATTCATAGTCGCTCCTGATGTAGTTAAGACCCCTGGGCAAGCTTGTTTGAGGGTAAAAAAGAATGCAGTACTCACGATCTAAAGCATCGGTGGATTTTTTTTTAACCTGAAGATTTCTCGTATTTTCAGGTGTGACTAAATAAGAAATGACCCCAGCCTAAAAGCCAGCTTTGGCAGAGCTCCGTGAGATACTATTTTACCAAAACCTAATAACTAAGCATGCAATATTCTGCAAGTGAAATTACTTTTAAATGAAAAGGTAAAAAATAAAAAGCAAATGACTAAGTGTAAACCATAATGCATCGTCTAACATGCTATGAGTGATTTGATTAGTATTTATAAAAATCCATTATCAACTGAAAAATTTAAAAACAAACAAATTAAAAAAACTCCACTGTAGTTTTTAAATAAAAAATTAGAATTTTTCTTTGGCATAAGTAGAACATAAAAAAAAAGGTTAAAAGCTTTTATATTCTACCAAATCACATGTATCAGGCAAAATCTAAATTAAACTGTATAATTTTATAAGACTATAAATTAGCATACTTATTAACTTTATGGAGCTGCTGACACATATACTTATTATACTAACCCTTCCTGACAGCCTAATGAATCTGCTATCTATGCTTCTTTCTAACTTTATTGTCAGGCAATGCCAAATATTTTCTATATACAGAAGAAGTATTCATAAGAGATCTTTCACGCTTTTAAATTTTGTGCATTGTGAAACATGTGTTTTTGTGTTTCTTATTGTACTACAGAGAAAAGTTCAGTTAGAGATCCACACTTCTTTTTTTTTTTTTTTAACACATTTGAACACCTCGTTTTACTGGTGTGTAATGGTTTTCTGGTTATGACGTAGCAAGGTGTGTTAGGCTATTAACTGTATGAAGTCTTCTGCTTTAGCAGTTAAATATCATATTACCCTAAATAGAAACGTGTATGTCTTCTTAGAAGCTACACTACCATGGCTGGGGACAATGAGCTGAATAAAGAACTATACTCCATGTCTTGCCCAATTTAAATTTGTAACAGTGAATTATGTGTGGGAAGTCTCTTCGGTATCTGGCTCCATCATTAACTAGTTGTGTGGACACATAACCTCTCTAAACAGTTCTTCATCTGAAAATTGGGGTAATCGTACCTTTTTCATAAAACAGTGATGAGGATTGAATAAGATAATGTACACAAAGCACCCAGCACAAGACTTGTACTGAGAATAAGAAACATACTCCATGGCGACCATCGTAACTGAGCTCAAAGTGCCCTATGGCCAAAGGGTAGACATGGAAAGTAGATTTTACAGAAAATTACAACGTATGAGCAGATAATGAAGGTCCGGAATAAGAGAACACAAACCCAAAGTCCCTCCTTCAGATGAAAACTGAAACAGCCCCCGGGTGTGTCTGAGGTGCGGGGCGGGCCTGTGGTGGCCTTGGGGCTGGCAAATGGCACCCGAAAGGATTCGGAGACCACGCGATGGTGGCGGTCACCAAGCAACAGCCTCAGGAGACCCTACCAGGCACTCTTCCCTCCGGTGGGCGCCCACGCGGCAGAGGTCTACCCGTAGTGTCTTCTGCTGCAGGGCCGTTTGGGGAACGGCCACTCGGAACATATCGCTGAACGGCAGGGCCTCCGCGGCTGGATGGACTTTTGTCCGGAACAGGCAGCTGACGTCCGCTGAGGAGGGGAGCAGCGCGACCCTGAAATACCTGCGGAGAACGAGAGAGAGAAGCGGGTTTCAGGGGCTCTTCAGTCACCCCGGACGCGCAGCAAGCGCCTGAAGCTGCCTGCAAAGCAGAGAAACACGGCGCAACGTGGGGTTTGTCACCAGCGTCAAGCTTTGCTGCCACAGTGGGCTGGTCCCGGCTAGGCGACACGGAGGCTCTGTCCCTACTGTGCCCGTGCCACCTGCGCCCCAGCCTGCCACGCCGCATGGGCCGCAGCACAGGCCGTGACAGGGAAGTGGAGGGGAACAATGTCCCACCTGCCCGAGTACAGCCAACTCCAACAGGAGGGATTTCTGAGCCTGGGAAGGTAGGGGACACGCTCAGTAGGTACTGGTGACTTTGCCCAAAGGATATTGCTCCTGAGCATTTAACCAGAGTTGTGGTCGAGCATGTCCCAGGAATGGAACACACTGTCCTACCAGAGAGAAAGAAGGGCTGGGCAGCGTCCTGCGACAAAAATTTAAAACAGATGAAATTTAGTAGCCCAAAAAATATCACTGTCTAGCATCTCAGAAGTTACTGGGGACGACAACTTCTGTTTTGAGGGCCTTATGCTTCGTAAAATTCAGAAGAGTTAGAGAGAAAAACAACTTCCAATACCGCCTTATGGTGAATTTTCTGAGCACATGTTACATGAGGGCTCTCAGTCCCTGGAAACAGCACGACGCACTGTCCTTAAATCCCAGCGGGAGAACACCCATTAAATCCCGGCGGCCCGAGGCCAGGCTTGTCTGCACCGCACTCTAACCGGAGCCGCTCAGGTGGACTGACGGCTGTCCCTTTGTTTCTGCATTCACATAAGCACTGATTACGGAGATTCAGCCCCAAAATCCCAGGCGCCCCGGGGGCCACTGCTGCAAAGGCCGGGGATGCGGCTGAAATCCCTTCTCTCTGCCTTTGTGGGAAAGCAGCACCAGGGAGCTGGTGGAACGGACGGAGAGAATGTTCTATTTCTCCAACTTCAGTTTCACTCCCTACTAACTCCTTAGGCGGTCCTAAAAGGGTCCTGTGAAAACCAGCGAGGTTTGCATGGTTCAGAGCTAGAGGCGCCGGGGACAGGAGGTAGGGCACTGTCTCCTCCTGCTGCGGGGCCCCTCCCCCAGCTGGAGCTGGGAGCCACCTGCAGAATCGCACGCTGCTGCACGCTGCTGCCGAGTGGCTGAAGGACACCCTACCCGCCGGGCAGAGGAACTAAGGGCTCTGTACGCCTGTGTCCTCCAAGTCTTCTCCGCCAGCAGCGTCGCCTTGCAGGCCAGGGCTTTCCCGAGTGGGCTTGGGGCCGTGACACCGCGCCCCACGTGGGGCGGGGGGGCGGACCGCGGGGCGAGTCCCTCCTGCACACGGGCTGCGGGCAGAAGTGCCTGCCGTCCTCACCACCCAGAACTATAGCTGGTCCCGACCCACGCTGGCTGTCGCCATGCCTCCAGAGGGCGCTTGTGTGTCCCCTCCTAGGAGGACAGTGAGTGGCTGTCATTGGTTCGGTGGCGGCAGAACGCCTGGGGATCCCCGCCCTTCCAATGTGAGTTTAAAGAAAGGATGCGTTCTTAATGAGTTCTAGTTTTCCCGTGAACTTGTGGGTGGACTCCCACTGTTCGTAGACTCGATCCCTGGCAGACCTGTTGCCCCCGGACGTGCCATCCTAAAATTAAAAAGCAGCCAATGGCATGCTCCGATATCCTGGCATTTTATTGGTGGGGAGCAGTCACAAATCTTGCCCTGAAGCCAGTCTTCCCTGAACACCCCCACCGGCTGTCCTAGCTCAGTCCGGGAAGCAGTCTCCCTGGGGTGACCCGGCCACTCCCCCACGTGCCTTCCTTCCTCGCTGGTCTCACTGATAATGTGGACCCCCAGGCCTTGATTGCAGGATGTCCTCCAAGCCCACTCCCCTCCTGGAACGTGTCCCCTCCAGCTTTGCTAATGGTCAACACACAGGCATCTATCACCTGCTAAGTACTCTCTGTCCAGGTCTTTGTGTCTTAGATCCAGCTTCTTTTTTCTGATAATTCTTAGAACATTGGGATGTGAATTTAAAAGGAAAATTGGAAAAGAGAAGAGGAAACCCACAGAAAAAAAATCCAGAATTCTCACGTTTATTCTATCCAACGCCCTTTATCATTGAGGAATATTCTCTGTCACGAAGGGAAACATTCACCTGGCTCGGGACAGAGTCTTGAGGGACACCCCTCGAGGGTGCTCTCCTATGCCCAGACCCTTGTTCTAGAATATTCAATGTGGCAGTAAGTGCGTGGTGGACTTACAGAGTCTGGAGCCTAAGTCAGAGACGCTAAGTTGAAATCTGGCTTCTTCCTGGCACTTTATAGCCACGGTCCCTCAGAGAGTCCCTGAGATCCTGACTCCAGAAAGCATGACTGGTGACAAAGGTGTCTCAAAATACCTGTCAGGAAGTGGTGGGCTGTGCAGCCCTGGGCCACCCCCTCCTTGGGATTCATGGTTTCATGAAGTGAAGTAACTTTAAGAAATTATCGGTCACCGAGAAGTGAACATTTGATGATAAAAACAAGATATACTCTTACATCAAGCATGACATGATTTGCCAATATTGCACCGATAAATAAAATTTCATCTGACCATATTTTCATGTAAAAGGTCAGAAAATTCCTCCAAGCCAAGTTGTGAGTAGACACAACTCAGCAATAACAAAAGTTTTAACTGTATTTCAAAAAAAAAAAATCATGCCCCACCCTAGCACAAAATGCAATTTCTGTTGAAAAGGGAGATAAAGAGTCGTGGTTCCTATTCTTAATAATGAATCGGTTGAATGACAATCAAAACCCAAATGCTTTTCTCCCATTCTCCTTTTCTCCCGTCTTTCTCTGCTGTTGCTAAGGCGAGGCCGGCCCTGCTCTGGGTTTCCTGTAACTTCGCTGGCCGGGTTGCTCGTTACAAGGTAAAACGGTCACACGTGCACAGCCGTAAGCGTCTCGACTTGTTCTTCACGGATTTCACTTACACTTTCGAAGTATGAGGTATCAGGAAGGCATGGAGATTTCGGAGTTGTGCTATAATCACCATGAAACTTGACCTTTTTGCGTCGTATCTGTCAAAAGAGAAGCCGATGAGAGGAGCAGAGAGCACGGGCCAGTGGGCGCCACACAGAGGGCTTGACGCGCCCCGCCCCCACGCTGCCGGTACCTGAGTCCGATCTGCACCTGGGCCGTCTCCACGACGACTGCAGCATCCTCCTCCCCATAGGGAACGTCTTCCACCTCGTTCGGCCTGGGAACCGGGAGACAGCGGGAGGGGAGCAACTGATGAAAGTGGGTACGGTCACTGCCTGCCACTTTATCAGTTCAATTGCAAACCTGACTTCACAGCCCCCCCCCCGCCACCGTCCCTGGCAGGGCTGGGCCAGGGAAAGCTCGCTCTGATGTCTTTCTTCACCTTGTCAAGAGGAGCCTGTCTCTGACTCTCAGGGGGAAGACGTTCGGATGCCCGACTTCCCTGGGCCTCCCTGGGCCTCCCTGGGCTATGCTGACACCTGTTCCAGGAGCTGGCTGTGCCACGCGGGCCATGCGAAACCACTCTCAGGTTCTCGGTCAAGTTTTAAGTCGCAAAGAGGGTGAGGTGTCCGAGTACGCTCACCCGACAAACACGTTTGTCGTTTCCCTGGCTGATGGCGCGTTTTGGGCACTCTGAACTGTTCGGGCACAAAGCCCTGGCCCCCTAAAGGGCGGACAAAGGCAGTGGGACATCCCAGCCCACCCCCATATGCATGCTAGGAGGAGACGGGGCGACTGAGGGTCCCCCCCCCCCCCCCCCCCCCGCTGACGGGAAGCCTCACTGTTTCACGAAAGCTTCGTAGACGCCGCTGTCTCCAGCCACCGACTCGTCGGACACGGCAGCCGACACGCAGGCCGTTTTCTCCCCAAGCACGTGGACCGCCCTCCGTTTTGGTAATGACTTTTCCACATCTAGGGAGGGAAGGGGGCAGTGGTGAGGAGAACTTCCCATTAGGGCAAGTTAAACATAAAATACACGTGCAGTTTGGTTCTGCGAGACCCAAAATAGAATTCCCGTCCGAGAAGCAAGGATGTTACTAATCAAACCAACAGATGTGGATGATTCAAGGCTCTGTGACTTCGAAGGGTCCTGGGACACCAATTATCTTGGTCATTATTGGAAGATGAACATGGTTTTTCTTTGTCCTGAAATATTTTAAGGGAAGGGATGAAGCACACACATTCTCATTGGTCCGGGGCCTCTGTTTCCTGGGAATTCACTGCAATTATAGCCACGCAGCAGCGAGAACGACTACCTGCCTCCCTCAGGTAGCAGGTATTTCTATACTTGAGAGCGTCTAGCTCCTCGAGGGCAGGCAGGGTCTCTCTCTGGCTCCCCACCCCCTGCCCCACCGACATGCCAGAGTCTCCATCTCCTGTAGAAGTTAAAGAAAAAAAGCTTTTCCCCGAGAGAATGCCTCATCAGCTAACACCATTAAAAAAAAAACCCCAAAAACCTTTGTGGTGCTGCATCTTGAGCACCAACTACCGCTTGACTTTCATCTCTAACTCATATTCCTACCCCAGCACCCTGCAGTGAGCTAGGAGCGCTCCCAGAAAGCTCTGCTCCCCGGTAACAAGCGGCAAGCCTGCGGAGCTCTTTCATCCGGCAGGGACGGTGTTGGTATGCGGCTCGCCCCCTTCGGAGCCCTGACTTTACATCTTGTTAAGATGTTTAAGTTTCAAGGCTTCAGATTACAGGATTGATCGCTGGCGCTGGGATGGCCTTTTCCTTGATGATGGCTTCTGACGGCTTCTCTCTGCCCACCCCCTTGTGGGAGAGGGGAAGGTGAGGACATGATTTATGGATTACCACCCCCACCCCCTGGAATCGCCGCAGCAGACTGACTGTTGACTGACAATGACAGGGACTGACGAGGGAAGGACTTCGGAGTTACTGCAGCTCAGTCTCCATCATCCGGCCGGGGCTGGTGCCGGAGCGCGACATCCGAAAAAGAGCTCACTCGACCTGCACGAGGCTGTGGCGCCCGGGGCGCGGGGGTGGGGGCGGGGCCGCCGGTGTCACCGCCCTGAGCCACCCGCTCCCAGCCGAGGCCAGACGTCCGTGGGTGAACTGACTCGGAGAGAATTAGTCTTTACAGTTAAACATAGGCTTTCAGTTGTTTTTCACGCATGAAACTGAGCATTACGTGCAAACAGAGCTCTCCAATGTATTTTTCCTTAGGGTGACTTTTTAACTTTTCAAATGCATCATGATTATTTGTTTCATGGAATTGATAGATAGGTAATATATATATTTAAGTTTTTTCTATATACAGGGTCTGGCACATATACTGCCCCCCTTTTTTTAATTACAAAATCTTTTATTACAGAATCACAAGCATGTAATTCTGTAACAACAATATCACACTCAAGTGCACCATATGGCATTGTAGGTGAAATGTTCACATTAAAACTATAAATTATTACAGCCATATTATTACCCTACCAACCCCGCTGCAGCAGGCCTTCCTGCTGCCGGGCCCTGTATATAAAATAATGACTTATGTGTATAAAATTAATTCTAAGTCTCGTGGGAGCGCCAGAGACACCAGTCCCTGGGCAGAGGCATCTCAGGCAGACACAGCAGCAGACCCGAGGGTCAGCGTCAGGGTCAGGGCAGGACAGGGACTCCAAGGCTCCGGGGCCCCGGGTGGAGACAGACCTTGGGTGACGCTCTCACTGATCTGTCCCCCTTCTCCAGCATCTGGGTTCACTGCCTGGGCCCCCGAAAGGCACTGAATGTTGAGAAACGGTCACTAGAGAACACTCCAAACACAGGAAGAGCGAACGCAGCGTTGACGGGTTCAAGGAATGAAAGGCCCTTCAAGTCCAAAGCCCAGGAGACTGGCACAGAAACCACCCTGCCTTCTCCAGCCTCCTTTCATAAACGCCAGTGGTTTGTCCTAAGAGCAGAGTGTTACACGTATCACCACACATTATAATAATCACCAGGAACTGGGGGCTGGGCCCAGGATCCGTGCTTCGGATGGATCCCGGCATAATCCTCCCAGGACCCTACGAGGCAGGCACCTTATCGCCCCCCTTTTTCAGATGAGGGACAGCAAGCTGGAGAGGCTGGGTCAACGGGTGGCCACAACACACGTGCCAGTGGCGTGAGCGCAAGGTGCACACGGCACTCCTTCCAGGGCTGGGGGGCCTCGGTGGGGGGGTCTCTGCTTTGCTTTATGGCGCCACCATGGAAGCCCCACTCCTGTGCTTACTTTCCTTGTGGCTGATGAACTCAGTAACACGTTACCTTCCGCTCGGGCACCTGCCAGGCAGTGGCACACAAGCCACACGCGCCTCTCCTGCCCCGGCCCCGGCCCCGGCCACCGGCAGGTGGGTCTAGCTCTTCAGGATTTGAAACCACACAATCGGGAGGCATTCTTCTATCTGTTTACATATCTGAATTGGCCGGTGAAGTACTACTTAGAATCCCTAGGACCATAAACACGAATTAAATATGCTCCTAGGAGGCCCGCCCTTGTGTGTGCTGTGGACACGCAATGAAGGGGTGCGTGTGGACCTACACGGGGCTCCCAGGGCCACTGGAGCTGCTGTCTCCTATTTCCTTTCCGGCTTGTGCTGCCACAGACCCCCACCTTGGACCACAGCTGCGGCCGTGTGCCAACCAGGGGCCATCTTGTCTTCTTTGCAACCACGCCTAATATATAACAGCTTCGGGAAACAATTTCGCAGAGGGAAACAATTTTAGAGACGTTAAATTCTCCCTCTGTTCCTGTCTCTTTGAGCATAAATGCAGGAGCAAGGGCTCCTCCCACGGCGCCTTCTTGGGCTGCAACTAGAAGTATGGCCAGAAGGTGGCAGGGTGACACTAGGCACGGGAACCAGCTTCCTACAAATGAGGCAGAAAGGGGGAGTCTGGCATGAAACAAAAATTGTATTTATATAGAATTCCCTGAGCAGCCTAAACACTGAACCCTGGTACTAATTAGCTGGTATGCTAATTGCTTTGGCTTTCATCTGTCTTCGGCCAACTTTGAAAAGAAAGCCTTGTTCTTTGCCTTGCTCGTTCCGAGCCAGAATCGGTTCGAAAGTCTGAAGTGTGTCCACAAAGCATGTTCCCAGTCTCTGCCGTACACAGAGAGGGTCTAGATGGCAGAGCAGATCCTTAGAGATGAAACTACTGCCAAGGGAAGGTGACTTTTATTTGATAAAGAAAAAATGTCTAGGGATATCAGTGAACAACTCCTTAAATGAGGCCACAATAAAAAGAGCTGCGGAAAGACAGGGGCATTTTCCCATTTGTTTATAGGGAAAAAGCCACCCTCCGATTCTCCCCTTAAAACAGCGGAGAGGGAACACGCGACAGCGAAGCCCACGTTTATTTACCTGCCGTTCCTTCATAGAAGGGCTCCCGGGCACATTCGTGGAGGTCTTTGTCCGCCAGGAGAGGCTGGGCCGCGCCGCCCGAGTCCGGGTCCAGCAGTGCCTGACTCTCACCCAGGCCCATGTCTGCAAAACGGCTGCTCAGGTCACAGTCGTCGAAGTCGGTGGTGAACTGATGGAGAGGAGCGTCGTGAGAGGACAGGGGAAACGTGCCTTCTAACACCAAGGGAGAGCCCGGCGGGGACAAGGAGGAGAGGGAGGACCGTGAGGACAGGGACGTCACCGACTTGGGGGCCTCGGCCAGCGGGGCCGTGGGGCCTGCTGCTGCGGCGGCCGCCCTGCAGGGACCGCCCTGGCCGGGCTGGCCGGGGGACTTGACCACTTCGTTTTCATGGATGGTGGTGATGGGTCCGGAAGGAATGTAGCCGCCCTTCTCTTGCAGGAGGAAGTCCAGTTTATACTGATAATCTGCGTCTATCTGGTCGCCCTGGCCGGTGTAATAGAGCTCGCCGGAACTGAGGGAGTTGAGCGACCCTCTGCTGGAGGTGTTCAGGGAGCCCCGGCTAGAGGCCAGGGAGCCGAGGCTGCTCCCGGACGACATGGACAGGGTGCTGGCGGAGAGGCTGCGGGAAGACAGGGCTTGCTGCCAATGCTGGGACTGCACAGGCGACCCAGGCACAGCCCCCGCGGCCTCCTCGAGACCCCGGCGAGGCCAAAGGGCAGCCTCGGGGACCGGGCAGCGGACTTGCTGTTACTCCGAGTATTTCCAGGGCTCTTCATGGACATTTTCGACCTGGCTCTCTAAATACTCTTGAAGCAGCAATTCTACTCTTATTAAAAACCACCCTCCTTTTGCAAAAGTTACAAAAGGGGGAGGGGATCAAATACCTATTGATGGGTCTACCTGCAGAGATACCCAGAAGCAGCTATGCAGTTAAATCTATAATAGAGCCCTGGCTGGTGAGGCTCAGTGCACGGAGTGCTGGCCTGAGAACCAAAGGGTTGCTGGTTTGATTCCCAGTCAGAGCACAAGTCCAGGTTGCTGGCCAGGTCCCCAGTAGGGGGCGCGTGAGAGGCAACCACACATGGATGTTTCTCTCCTGTTTTCCCTCCCTTCTCTTGTCTCTAAAAATGAATAAATAAAATCTTTGAAAAAAAATTATAATAGAAGGGGGGGTAAACAGTACAAAGTGTTAATACAGTTACTCTGCTTAACAAATGAAACTTTATTTGCGAGAGAAACAAAAGAAGCTTCTGAGGACAAACAGGTAACACAGAGGCCCCTGGGCCCACCTGCCCTTCCTCTTCTCTGTGTATTTAAATAGCGAGTATGTTTTCAGACGAATCACCCACCTTCCCTCTTAAAAGAAAGACTGTTGGGGAGAAAATCTGTCAGTTCCCTAAGTAGATACTGAGGGTAAAATATACTTTCTTCCCACAACATATTCAAATGTTTTCCAAATATGACCTTGGGGTTCATGAAAAAAAAACAAAACCTATGCAACTTTAAGTTGGCGATTCAAGTTTTAACAGTAGTAGTATAACTATGTTCTTTTCTTTTAAATAGTTGAACATGAGGAGAAAAGCAATCAAAGGTGAACAAAGTGAACAAAAACATGTCTGAATATAGTCGAGAATAAAGAAACCTCTCCTCAGGAACTAGACAGACTTACCTTTTCAGCTGTGAATGCAGATGCGTGGTTAATTTGGTAGTTTCTTCAAGTTTCAGTAAAAGCTCTTTCCTTCGCTCTTCCAATTTCAATCTAGAAAGAAAAAACCCACACAAGTGAATTTATGTTTTCAAATGATTATGATAATGCATGAAAAACGGAAGGAAAAGAAAAGGTCCCTGCTACAGAGAAGTTACGTACCACGGGGGGGAAGCCGGTGACCCCGGCTGGGAGAAAACAGAACCCCGGCAAGAAGCAAGTGGGCGCATCCACAGATGCGCCTGATTAAGGGGCGCCTATGCCAAGTCTCAGGGTAACTGAGAATGTTTTAAATTTGGCTTGCTAAAATTCTCTTTAAAAAAATATTTTTCATTCTATTTTTTCCATTACTATTTAACACCTTCTCCCTCCCCCAACCCCCACAATCACCACGCTGTTGGCCGTGAGTCCTTTTTGCTTGACTCCTCTAGAATTTTTTTAAACAGGTTAAGACAACCCTCATGCTCTTACGAATTATAGAAAGAGAGTGAGAAGGAAAACAAGAAGCTAACCAAGATCACAGAATCCTACAGGCCTGCGACTGGGTTTACGTTACTAAAACAATTTAACGGTAATAACAGGGAATTATGAAAGATCACCCCAGGTACTGAATTGTTCGGCCAGAATAAGATTTAGTGATAAAAAGTCCTATCTCAATTTGATGAGAATGTTAGGGATTAAGAAACAAATGAGCCCAAACTGTGCAAGATACAGACATAAACGTGATTTCCCGTCCCGTGGGCAGGCAGTACGTCTGTCCCATCCCCCCGCACCGGATCCTCACGACATTTCGTCCCCTCGACTTCACCTGCACTAGCGTTTGGCGGTTTTAAGACTCGGCCGCAGGGAACTGCGGCCCTGAGTAAATACATCAAATACTGATGAAAATGCATCAAGTGCCCAGGGCTTTATGCAACAAGGCACCGGCACCAGGGCCGCCTGCGTCGTTGCAGGGTCTTGAGACACCGTGGGAACGAGCGTCTGCAGAGCGTGGGGGAGGCCCGGGGCCGCAGGCTGCGGTTCTGTCTGCTCTTAGCAAGTCGCGGAGGCGGGGCCTCAGCGTCCTCGTCGGAAACTGCGGGTTGTAGCCCTACTGCGTCTGCCTCGGCGGAGCTGCTGACAGCGTCCGGGGTCCGGCAGGGAGGGGGGGCGGGGGGTGGTGGGTAAGGCGCTGCGGACTCTACCAAACGCACCTGCCCTGCGCAAAGCCTAGCCCAGCTCTGCAAGGGGGTGATAGGAAAACCAGCTCCTCGCCTTCGGAGAAAAAGAAAATTTCCGTAATTTTCAGCTTCTTTGAAAAGTTATTTTGCATTTTAGGCAGTGAGAAAACATGCTCGTGTTTTATTTATAGGTATCTATCCTTTGATGTGCCACCAACACAATGCTATTATGTGTTAAAATAAAAGAAGTAATTCTTGTCGTTTTGTTTAGCACTTCAAAGGGTGATAAATTCTTAATTCACGGCTTGCAAAGGTGTATTTTGAAAAGGAGTACAGCCTGTAGTTTTTAAATCTCTTAAACATAAATAAAAACCCAACAAGGAAACATATTAACGCAAAACAGATGAAATGAATAGAAGTGCGGAGAAAGCCTAAAAATCTACTAAAATCCATGTCTTCTGAAACAGGAGATGCACTTTCTAATTCAGTTTTAAAACTAAATATTGCACAAACAAAGGCGTTTCTGACGCATTAGGGAGGCTTCTGTATGATGTCAGTGTTTCGTGCTGAAATTTAAAATCCCGTCCTCGTCACAAGCCCTGGTCCCCTCTCCCCGCTCCGGGCGATCGCTCGGGCGCTGTGTGCCGGGCCTCTTCGTGGCTCCCGTGAACGGCTGAGGCCCGGCTTTTCCGTTACTGCCGGCACGTCCCTAGTCAGACGACAGGCTCCTAGAAGGTGGGCGTTGACCCTTTCTCCCATTCCCACCCCGGCCGCCTGTCGAGCCAGGAGCACCTGCCGGCCCCTCCTGATTTAGACCACCCAGAACTTTCCACAGAGGGAACACTGCAGGCCCCCTATTGAAGTGGTAAGTTCCTTTTCCATTAAGAAATAAATGACACTCATACCCCCACTTACTTGCCTGAAAATTTTCCTTAGCAGCAGAAACATTTATACAGTCACATGCCACTTAACAAAGGGGGTGCGCTCTGACAAACGTACTGCTGCTCATGGTCGTGCAAACAGTGCCAAGGGCACCCTCACAAACCCGGAGGGTGCACCTACTGCAGGCCTAGGCTGCGGGGTGCGGCCCCCGGCCCCTGGCACGCACACCCGCACTGGGTGTTACTCCACAAAACAACATGCGATCAAATCAAGAGCCAGAGGAAACGCTGCCCTCAAGGCACGGAGCCGACACGAGATGCCAGAGGCTGCTGATGAGCTAACGCGGCGCACCGTTGTTTTTATGGGCTTTCTCGGAGCGCTCGAAAAAATGATGGCTCTTCAGCAAACTTTTAAAAAGTACTCTTTGTAGGGTGCCCTCCAATAGAATGATAAATAGTATAGTGTGGTGAAGACATAAACCAGTAATGTATTCATTTGTCACTGTCGTCAAGTATGAGGTCCTGCACTTGACTGTACGTGCTCTGCTTGCCTGCGCCGGGCAGTGCAGGAGGCTGGTTCATTTGCACCTGCATCGCCCTGAACACGTGAGTAAGGCGTCGTGTCACAACCTCCCGATGGCCTCAATGTCACGAGGTGACAGGAATTTTTCAGCTCCATTGTTACTTTGGGGGACCACCGCTGTGTAGGCCGTCCATCGTTGATGAAGATGTCCTTATGCGGTGCGTGACTAGTTAAGAAACAATGAAGACACCTTGGCAAGGTGTAAGACAGAACCTCTAAGATGCATGAGAAAGTCCAGAGCGTGTTAGAGAAAAGCACAGAGTTTAAGGCACCTCAGTAACTGTATGAAAAGACTATGAAAGATGTGCAAAAATTCTGGCACTCTGTGCCTTGTGTCCCACTGGAGAGCAACTCGTCTTTGCTGGTGATCCCTGGATGAGCCGCTCTCTCCTTCCCACCTGCGCCAGCACCACTAGGTGGCGGGCTCGGTCCCCACGGCCGGGAGCAGCAACACAGAGAGAGGAGGACGGCAGGCCCGGGCCACACACAGGGCTGAAAATTCCTGCCGAGTTTTTGACAGTTATTATAGATGTGCAAACAAAAGTTTAAAAGCCAATGTGTAAGCACTTAGGAACAAAGTATATTTTTAATGTTACTTCATCAGTCATTTTTGAAGCTCTAGCCCTAATAAAAAAGACAAAACATCGTGCCTGAAAAGCTGATCAAAGCAAACAAACACATGCCTGGTTTCTCTTTCCTAGAACCCTTCCTAGACCCACGCTCTGCTCAGCTGGGATGGACTCAGAGCTTCAGACATGTATGTTTAATAAGTGCGCATAACACAAAATACCACTGCTGTTTTATACACAGGCCACACAGAGCTACCCATTCCTTCCTATTTACTGATGATCATCAAACTTTTACCCTAGATATTTAAGCTACACAACCCACACACCCACGACATCAAGGCAGTTCAGGGAATGACTGATTCCCCCTCTCGACCTCAGGCTTTGGTTCCTTTAGGTCTTGGTCACATGGACCCTTACCTGGCCAGCCAGGCTTACGTTTAGCTGAGGCTGAGCCTTCCATCAGCTCCACTGGGTATTAGGGCGGGAGGAGGGGAAAGAAGGGGCAGGCGAGGATGATGAGAAAGACTGAAGAGAGGCCAGGAATGTCACCTGTCGAGGCCTCCCTGTGTGACACTTCTTTGTGACCCCTAGGGCTGGGGTGTTGGTAGCTATACATGACCTTGACCAACATTTTCACTGACAAAAGCCAGTTCTCCTAAAACAGTTAAAACTCAGGAAAGGCAAGTCCAATGCTACCACGTAATCTGGAATCTCAAGGGTTTTCCCCTCCCACCCTTTTCAAATGTTGTGATGTTATGTAGACACGTGACCTTAAACATTGATAAAGCACAAGGAATTAGAAGGCAAGAAGCCAAGAAGTTAAAACACGCGCGCGCGCGCACACACACACACACACACAGACAAAACAAAGCAACTGGGTTAGGGCTGGGCATTTTGAAGTTACTTCCGGGTCACCTGGAATGACATGAATGTGAGTTTCTTTCTTGACATTCCAGAACGGGCACAGCGCCTCGCCTGCTGCCTGAGGGCGTGCGTGAGACCAGCGCGCCCCGTGGCCCGCGGCTGACACAGGCGTCCGACCGGATCGGCCACTGAGGCCCAGACACGGGGCCCCTGCGCAGACGTGTGCCTGTCCAGCTGACCCCCAGAGGGCCTGCCGCCCAACAGTCCAGCTGTTTTGATTACAGAACTGGATGTTTAAGAAAAAATGATCAATCTACCCATTCCCGCAGACATCAGAAAATCAAGAGTTTCCCTTGGCATTTCCCCTCCTTCAGAGGAGGGCTCTCACTGACCAACAAAATCCAAGCGAACGTTTTGTGACCTGTTAAGATATTCAAGGGAGCAAGCTGTCTTTTCCTCGTGAAACGAAAAGCAATAACCGTTGGCATCCTTGTGAGTGATAAAACCCCAGCTAGGAAGCCTCAGTTGCTCTAACGGTGCAGATTATCTTTCTTATCAGGGCGCGATAGTTTGTCGCTATGGTTATCAGCATTCCCGGGTTTCTGTCAACGTTCAGCCTCAGTCATGGCATTTTCAGCTTCCTAACAGACACACTGAGATGAGGGACACGGAGGGGCAGGGGGGCAGAGGAGGGTGCTATTGCTCTGGAGAGAGAAAGCCCTTCTAGGCTGGGTCTCCGTCCCCGGAAAACAGATGCACCTGAGATGGCCACCGACCAGGGAACGGCACGGGCGTGGCTGAGACACCCCCAGGTGCCCCGAGCCCGGCCCCTGGGAGACACCCACCTCTCGGCCAGGGCCCGGCTGGGGGCGCCCCGCACGGACAGCAGCTCCTCCTCCAGGCGCTGCCGGTCGGCTTCCAGCCGCTCGAGCTCGCCCCGGGTGCGCTTCTGTGGCGTGACGAACTGAAGCTCTTTCAAGAGTTCTTCTTTCTCATGAATCAGCATCAGCTTCTCCTTCTCAACATCCAGCGCCCCGGGCCACGCCTCGCTGTCCAATTTCGACAACTCGATTTTCAAGTTGGCCATGCTAAAATACAGAGAGGAAACAGGGGTGCATGCACTCAGGCCTCCTGAGAAAGGGGTGGACACAGCTGTGCTCAGTCTGGGGGCGTAAACGCCCCGTTTCCGCTGGAAACCTCCGCGGAGAGGGCTGTGGTCGCCTGGTCCGAGGAAGAAGGGGGGCAGCTGCCCGTGCCCCAGTCTCCGGGCCTGATGCTGTACTTAGCCGTCACCTGCGTCATTTTCCCACCTTCAAAATCGCAGTGAGCCCGCGCCCTTATCTGAAGACAGGCTGAAGGTGGAAGCACACAGAGCTTCAAAGCAGAGAGCCCAGGAAGCCAGGCAGGAAGAACAGCTGGGGGGCTTCCGTTAACCGCCCTGCGGGGATGGGAGAGTGTCTGCAAGGGATGCTGGCCTGTAGGGAAGGAGACTGTCCCCTGGTGAAATGGCTGTCCCCAGGGCGTGAGCCAGTCGGGGAAGGAAGAGGGAGGGGAGCGAGCACCGGTCAGCCGATGGATGAGAACGGCCATCCATCAAGGCTCCACCGTCCGCCAGGACCGGGGCAAGGCTCGGCTCCCTCTGCCCGTGGTCTCCCTAGGCTGCGCCCTGCGAATGCTCTTCCCCACCGGTGTGCCGCGCATGTCTGCACCGCGTGTCGAGCCAGCACTGGGGCGTCACTGCACTAGACCCGCCTTTCCTCCGCGACAGGCATTTGGCTGCACAGGAGGCAGACGGCACCCAGGGGGCCCCCTGCAGCGCAGGCACCCCCGGGGTGACAGCAGGTGCGGAAGTGCGGGGACAGGGACAGGAGGAGGACGGTGAACGAGCACTGAAGGGAAACTTGACCGGTGTCAGAATTTTGCCTGACGCCAGATTTCTGTCTGTCAGGGCTTCTCACTCAACGGTCAAGTCACCTCCTGACTCTGAGGATGTGCTGACCACCTGCATTTGCGCTGTGGCGCTGTGGGGACGGTCAGTGCCACGGGGCTACTTGGCCCACGAGCACCAGGGGAAAATAAACCACGAACACATCTGATGTCGGCGTGAGGAGACCACCTTCCTATGAACGCTGTTGGAGGGTTACTTTGGCTGGTGTTCCAGGACGCGTCAGAATATGAAAAACGGGTAGAATGGGGGAGGGTTCTGTCTCCCCTTCTGAGGGAAGAAGTTGTAGAAGGGAAAAAAAAAGGTGAACCAAAGAACGTTGTCAGGACAGAGATGAAGCGGTTAGTTGCACGTTCTTGCGCTGTAAGTTTCTCGTTTTAGTGAAAAAAATAAAGTTGCCTCCTTAAATTGGCACTGCATGCAGAGTTTACTTTTGATTTTCACCCACCGTCTGCATTTATGATAGATGTAACATCAGCTATTCTTCAGCTGTAACCACAAAACCATAAACAACTGTCTCAATGTACTGGAAAATTAATCATCAAAATGCTAAATAAGCATGGTATTAGTAGCTTCATTAAGCACATAAAACAAAGGCTGGAGGAGGCAACGGGCTTCAGAGAGACACAACCCGCCTCTGTACTTATTCAGACTCGAGGGAAAAGCATTTTCAACACACGCATGAACCCTTCAGATTTACTGCTCGTCAGCTCCGCCAGTAACTTTGAAATAAAACCCCCAGTTAGGTCCCAGGGCGGCAATGTGACTAGAGGGGACAGAGTGAGCGTCTCAACTTTTGACGCGACTGAGTTAAGCGCTGATGCACCGAAGGAAGTCAGAGAGGCCCCCGTGACCCGTGGGACTGACTGAGCACCAGGCAGGTCTTGGGCTTTGCTGGGAAAGGTGCCGTCACACCTGGGGAACAAAGGAGGGAGATGTGAGGGAGCACCTAGGGGGTGGGCTGTGCCAGCTCTGGTAGAACCCAGAGCAGAGCGAGAGCTCAGGCTGGCCCCAGGGAAGTCAAGTCACGCCCCCGAGACCGCAGGGCATGAGGCCTGGCTCTCTCAGGCTAATGCTACATTACGGGCATTCTCCTTCAGGAAACCGGACATGGCCCCGGGCTTTGTTAACAGCAGGACCCAGGGGTTCTCACTGCGGAAGGGCCCGCGTGCTCACAGCCCAGAGGCTGCACACAGCCCCCTCTGGAAGCTTCCCGTCTCACGGGGCCTCACGCAGGCCCACAGAGCCATCCTCAACCCTCCGCCTGGGCTCCGAGAAGCGGAAGATAAAGCACACAAAAGGTTTCCTAACCTCGAGAAATGTACCACCCACCTGAAAAAATTCCTAGGCATTAAAATTAGTCAAGTAAAGTGTTGTTCAGAGAAACGAAGTGACTTGCTCAAGCGCATGTGGTTAATAATTTGTAGAGCAAAGCTCAGGGTTCTTTCAGTAAATCGAAGAACCAAGCTGTATTAGTAACAGAGGCTACATGGAGGCAAATATTGTATTTAGGCAGATCAAATAATTACTTTGTTGAAGCCAGATAACCTCGAAGAACTCTGGCTAATTACTTATAAATTATCATCATCACCAGTATCAATGGCTATACTTCAGTATCTATCTGACGGTCTTCCTTACAGTAGGAAGCCAGGACACGCTAGCAGGTTCTCAGCTGAGCTTTCCACGCTGAGGAGGAGAAATGTGATCAATTTCTCTGTCCCCTGCAGGGTGATAATGCAGTTTCCACTCCCCCATGTCTTCCTAAACGATTTATCAATAGCATTTTTCAAGTCTTAAGAGGAAAATAATAATATCAAATGTATCAGCCTGACTCTTGCGCTCAAAATAAGCGAGGTGCCTATGCCATGCAACTAAGGCGAGGCTGCCGACTGGGCAGGGGCGGTGGAGTCTCTAGGGCGCACCCACGCCATCACACGGTCAGAAAAGGGCAGCCGGGGTGTCCTGGGGGCTCAGGAGGTAAAGGAGAGAAGTAAGAATCTCTCTTCCTCCTCCTGGAAGTCAGTCACTGGGCCAGACACCTCTCACTCTTCAAGGACGTTGGCAGGAGACTCCCCTTCCAGCAAAGGGACAAGATCCAAGCTCTCCACCTTAGGGCTGACTCATGCACCGCCATCAAGTCCTACACCTGAGCCACTGCACTGTGTCTACCTTCACACTTTTAAGTGTGTCATACGAGCTCAAAGCTTCTTTCCTCCAGACGAGAAGGGGACAAGTTCCTTGCTACACTTGTCATGGATTCTCCATGCTCTTCAGCTTGTGGGGGACAGGGAAGGAAGGGACAGCAAGCAGAGAGGGGACTCTGCAACCCTACACCTAAACACGGAAGGACACCCTCAGTAAAGTGTGTGGGGAGTGCCAGCAGGTGTCACTACAAGCACAGAGATGCACCGTGGAGCCGACGCTGCAGTCGGAGCCCACGGACCCTTGGATCCCACGGCCACCCCACGGTTACCTTCTTTTGGCTTCTTCATACTGTAGGCTCAGCCTGACCTTTTCAGCTAAGTTTGACCGGCTTCTCACTCCGATCTAGTGAAAAACAAAAGGGAAAAAGTCAATGAGCTCTTATAATGAACAGAGGTAGACTGCTTTTGTTTCTGGGAAGGACAAGTAATTGAAAAGCCAGGGAAGACGGTACTGAAATGGAGACCACGGCTGAGGAAGGCCCCACGTGACAGCCTCAGGAGGGAGGGGCAAGGCGTTCCTCTTTGCCTCAACCTCTTCTCTCTTTTACAGACTTTAGCGTCCTTTTCTCCATGCATTAAATTCAAGATAAAAAAATATCCGGTAAATGTTTCTGGTATCCAAGAGTTTATGAGGGGTGTGCAGGTGAATAAAGTTTATGAGCCAGAACTAATTTCCTTGCCACCAGGAGCCAAAATTTCCATCATTCAGCTTTCAACTGCATAAAATATGAACTAAATAACTTCAAAAGTTAATTTCTTTAACTAGGTAGGCTCTGCTGTTGATCTCTGTTTTACTTTCATAGCACATGATTCAAAGGAGTGCAAGAGAACACAAAAATTACTGGGGACTTGTCGTGAATCGGCTAGTGGCCTCCCAAACTGGCAAACCCACACCCGTGCCGTGTAGAAGGCCGGCCAGGGAGCCCGCCGGCCAGCCCTTCCACGGGGGGCACTCACATCTCCGGAGATGCTGGTCTGGGAGCCGGCGTCAAGGGTCTGTCTGGAGAGGGACAGATGAGAGTTCGCAGGGCTGGACCGCAGGTCTGGCTCGGATCTGCCCATGTTCTGGTCCGGGTGGAACCGCTCCTGCAGCTTGGCGAGGCTCTGGGCGGGATGCACAACGGGGAGGCTTAGCCTTCAAAAGGGCAAACCTCCCCCAGGTACCACTGAATTGAAAGAACTCACCTTAATGGAAAAACCAATGGCATTATTTTAGCACGTACACAGCATTTTAAATGGGTGAAAAAATAAGAGCAGAATGTCATTTTGCACATGCACACATGTGACTTCAGAAGTATGCAAGAGCACATTAAACAGGTTATCTTATTTTTCCCAAGAGAGCCTGGGGGTTATTCGCCTTGTGAATAATGGTATCTTTATATTTAATACATATGTTCTTGTTTTTAAAATTTCCCTCAGAAGAAGTCTCTGTTTTAACTAGAACTATACCCACTGTAGGCGTGGCCATTATGGAACCACGGAACACCGACAACGGAATCTCGTGTGCAACACAGCGGGAAAACGCTGCCTTCCTCAGCAGACGTCCACCACGATCACGCCCCGCGTCCGGACGGGACCCGGGAGGCTGCTCAGCTCACGTTCGCGTTAGAGAGTAGGAAACGGAGCCCAGAGGCCACAGCGCGCGCGGGCGACCTGAGCCCGTCGGCCTGCCGCCGCCGCGTGGCACTGTCCAAAGGGACACGCTTCATTTGGTAAAGTGATGGTCGGAGGGGACGGGCCTGCTCTCAGCACCGGGCGTGGCAGCCTGAGTTGACCTTGGAGGGAGAACGTGAGCTACTAAAAGTATGAAAAGGGAAAAACTTCATCTAAGTTGCCCCCAAGGACAAAGCAAGCTTACAAAACACTCATAAAATTGGAGACACTTATTATCGACTTTTAGAAGAACCAGGATTTAACCCTGATATTTAAAATTCTCACAATAAGACATCAGAACTATCAGGGGTCATATATATATATATATTTTTTTTTAACCTAATCTTCTCTATTTTCTTTCAAAGGGATATTTATACAAAATGTCTATACAAGAGAGATAAAAATTAAATGGTCATGTCAAATAATACATCACAGAAAAGAACCAAGAAATCAGTTAGTGACTGTGGGCAAGTCTTTTCTATTTTTCATCTGCGTAGTGAGACGGTGCGTATTCTTCAGAGCCATCTGTGATGACAATGCACTCATCAATTTAGGTCACAAGTAGCTATGTTTTTTAAAGCATCACAGAAGCGACTCGAAAATGAAAGCAGAGTACATTCCTAGTATTAAGAGCAGGCATGTTTCTGTGAAATTTGTTTTGTGTGTGTATCTATATGTAAAGATAGCTGTGTTCATGGGCTTTGATGTAAAATATATTTTTTCCTGTGAGCTGTGGTCAAAGAGGTTGGAAGGTCACAGAAGATACCTAATGTCCCTTTCAGTGCTATTGTTGATTTCTGTACCTACTGATTATTTTATATACTTTAGTAATTAAGAAGGAACCGAAGCTCTTAATTTAATCTGGCCTGTGTATAAACCCAAAGTTTACAGGAAGAATGGAAGATGACCTAAAATTGCTGATTTATAAGATTCCACTGTAAGTGTGTTCAAGTTCCATAAACTCTTTTCAAAGGACCTATTATGTGCCTTTTAGGAACTATTGATTCAATCAGTAGGATCATTGTGAAATAAAAACAAAATATATCCAAATAAAGTCTTATATGTGTCAAGTCTAGGTTACAACCACCAAGTCTGGAGCAAGACTAGCTGGTTGAATGGCAGTGCTGCCACGTGCCGGTGGTGTGACTTTGGGCACGTCGCTGACTCTCCTGGGCTGCAACTGCCTTGTCTGTACATTGGGGATGATAACAGTGCCTGGCTTGAGGGCTGCTGGGGGAATTAAACGAATTGTTTCCGTGCAAGGCAGGCAGAAGGTTGCCTGGCCCAGTCTCAGTGCTTCTCAGTATTTGTGATTACTTCTGTTGTCTCTTCCATTTGATCTCTCCCTGCAAATTATTTAAAACTTGCTGAAAGGCAAAATTATACGGGTTCAAGAATATTTACCTCCATTCAACTAGCATTTTTGAAAACTGACATTAAGTAGTTGAATACAGTATTTAAAGTTAGGGGTTCTATTGAAAATGCCAGCATCACCGTTGGCTGTAACATTCTCCCAAATCCTCACTCGGCTACGTGAAGAACTCCAAGTATGCAAAGAATTCTCAGTGCTTGTGATAATTATGGGATGGAAGGAAGGGAAGAGGAGGAAGGGACACACTCTTTAAAAAACACGATTATGTCTGCTAAAACAGAAATATTCAGAACGTAGAATACCGTTCACTGAATGGTTGTTTTCTGTTCTGTCTACAGACGAGGCTGGGCCGTTGGGAGCTGAGACCCGTATGTTGAGGTTACAGGCGTTGCAAGGGGCTCGGCTGCCACAAGCAGATCCCCTAGGGTGACTGTACAGATATCCCCTGCCAGGCCAGCATCCCCCATGCCTCTCTTACAACCACCTGGGTGGGAGAGGCTTTTCTAAGATCCTGGCATAAGATGCTCAAGGGCGTATCTTCTAACTTGCCGATGGCAGGTGACAGGCCCTTTCCGCGTCCGGGGCTGAGGATCACTGGTTTCGATAACCCTGCTTATCAGGGGTTGCATGGAGCTTTCAGCGAGCGGCAGGGTGCACAAGGATGCTAATCTCCTTACGTGGGCTCAAGGATCCACCACCCACTGTCTCAAAGGCCAACCAAAGCCTGCCTTCAAGTAAGCACACCAGGACCTCGGAACCAATCTGTCTTCCTCAGAGGCCGTGCCAGGGCCGGAACCACCGGCTATGGGACCAGATTCGGTGTGGAAGGGGCTGGGGACATGGGGAAGCAGAAAAGGCCATCCGGGGACGCTCATGGAGAAATTCTGCCCCAGGGAGAGTGTCTTGGGCCCCAGAAAGTAACGGTTTGACTTAACAAAACATCCCATAACATACCTGCATCAGATCCTGTTTTTCTTTCTCTCCTGAGCTAATAGCCTTTCTGATCGATTTCAGTTCGGTTAGAATGGCTTTGGCTTCACGGAGTTCATAGCCACTCTGGCCTCCGGACATTTTTTTATCAATTCTGTTCAAAGGAAAAAAAAAGGAAAGAAAAAAAAAATCAAAGAATGTCAGCGTACAAGTAAGACAGACCGGGGGAACTGGTTTGGGGTTGTCTTAGCTGGCTGGCTGCACTAGTCCTCGACTCTCACACGCCCATCCAACCTCATCCTTCCCAGCTGAGAGTTTCTCCTCCTGTCTCTTCTGCAGGCCTCGCTTCCAGCAGAGGCTCCTCCCGCCTCCCCTCACGCCTGTCCCTTTTGTATTGCACTCAGGCCCAGTCCTTTCGCCTTCAGTCTGTTTGGATGATCCTGCGCTGGCAGAGCTCAAACCTCACCGCAGGCTGCCCCGGACGCCCCCTGAGTAAGGTTCAGGACGCGGGGAAGCGATTGAGCGGCAGGACAGAAATGCCGGCACACTGGACGGCCACAGGGACGCAGGGCTCATCGCTGTGGCCGGCGGTGGCCGCAGAGCATCTGTGCAGACCGCAGCCCGCGCCCGCAGCCTGGCCGGCGCTCAACCGGCGGCAGAATCACTTGCAGCAGCTGGCACCCCACAGTATTCGGATCGTGTGTCTAGTTTCTCATTTCTTTTCAATATTCCAAATGCATTCATTCCGATTTTAGAACAGTTAGGAGCCTGGGTGTAATTGCTTGCCCCGCTGGGATGAGTTTGAACCCAGGAGCAAGGCAGTGGGCAGGTGTGCTCACTCGTCGACACCGAGGCGACACAGAGAGCGGACTCGTGACACCCGCAGACGAGCTCGCCAAACGCCCCGGCAGTTCACACGGTCGCCCTGCATCAGAGGGCTGCCCGGGACCCAGTTCCCTCCACCAAATCGCCCAACTCTCCCTGAGCGATGGTGTAACGGCATCTTCCCGACCGCTCTCCTGGCTCCCGCACCGCCTGCCCGGGCGCGCTTGGAACACAGTGGGCTTCCCGGCGGACGCCCCTGCCCCATCGGCCCACCGCTCTCCTCCTCGGACATACTTCTCATCTTACCCACAGAGAAAAGGCACCTATGAAACCACAGGAAGCCGGCTCTGAGCTCATTGGGTTTAAAACACTTAATAATTTATATTTAATTCAGCGTGAAGGGTTTAATGAAAAAAAGAAAACACCTATCTTACTCACTCTTCCAAAGTTTACTCAAACAAGTGCAGTGTGTAGATAACATTATTTCCCCAAGTACTAGTTTAGTTAATATTTTATGCTGCTGAACAAGCAATGAAAGTCTTGCAGAACTTAAGAAAATAAAATTCGTCATAAGTCATCTGATTATAAAGAACAATTAATGAACTCACTGAATTAAACACACACCCAGTGTTTAGGGCAGAAAGGGACCCTAGAGAGCGACCAGTCACTTCCTCCAAAGGAAGAAACCGAGGCCTCCGGAAAGGTGAGGAAGGCGTGGCCCCGAACCTGCTAAGCCCTTCGCCCATGAGGAGACTGTCTTCAATGACCGACTCTGCTTGGGGCTCTTACGACTGTTACGCTTCGAATATTTGATAAGAACACTAAAAGCGCTTTGATATTGGTCAATTCCAATTATTGGGGAAGGGGTTTACCAATGAAATCACTGGGTCTCTTAAAGTATTAAACTTGGTTGAGGTAAAAGGCTTATTCTGATTCTTAAAAAATCTGTGCGAGTTCACGACATGGCTGGTAACACCGGTGTCTCAGACTGTGTCAGAGTAAATTCCTGAAGCCCAAGGACTGTCTTTCTATTGGAGAGAAACGTTCAGAATTTAACAGTAAAACAAATCTTTAATTCAGGAACCAACTTTCACGATTGAAAACAGAAAAGCAGGGAAACTGTTTTCAGGAATAAACTGAAGCATTTAAAAATAAAAGCAGCGCTCCTTGAAAACTGGTAATTTAAATTGCAGAGAGCTTTAAAAATAGATGAGACTCTCCCGCCTATCCACGGCTCCACCACCTGCCACACCTGGCAAGAGCGAGCCACCGCGGCCCACAGGCCCTGGGCGGCCCCGCCCCGCCCCGCCCCACTTTATGGTGGCTCTTCTCCGGCACCTCCGTCTCCCACTTTTCTCCTCCGCTTTTCTCCTTGCACCTGTGTTCTCTTTGGACCCTGACTGATGGTACAATAGAGTATTAGCGTTATTTGCTGATTTGTACAACAAAAGTACTACAAGTTTTTTTGGTTCTTGGTTTGAAAAATACCATTTTATATTTTTTCCTAAAAAAAAATGAAAAAAAATTTTTTTTGTTTGTGTGACCCCTACAGTTAATTTTTACCTATATCTTAGTCTCTTCAGAAAGAGAAGAGATTGCCATTTGCACGCTTCCCCTGAGAAATAAGTACCCCAGCGCCAAACTTTCCCAGAATCGATGCGTTCGGCTCGCTGGGTGTCGCTTCCTTTCGCCTCTTCCAGTTCTGAGTGAACATGGGAGGTGGCAAAGTGGAACTGTGCCTCCTGGAATCCACCTATGCGTAAGCTACACTATCGCTTAGGCCAAAGTCAAATTTGGGACCCCAGACGGAATGAAATGAGTGATTTAGGGGATAAGACCAGTCACTCATCCGGCGTGAACTACTGTACCAGGTGAAATGAGAGCCGAGTTTAGGTTACACTGTAATACCAGATTCAACAGAAATATTTCATTCTATTGTGAGTAAGTAAAAGGTAGCAAAAGGCTGCAGTGGGATTCTATTTAAATCTGTTCCTGAAATATCCTTTCTGCCGTAACCCCAAGTGAAAGTCCCTTTATAGTATAAAGAATGTGGTTTCTTGAAAAGTAAGGCCCTGGGTTCGGTCGGCTGTCCCTCGCTCCCGCAGGTGCTGGGTAGCACTGGATGAAAACAGCGTCGTTGCGTCTGCAGGTGAGACGGCCGACCGAGGCCCCCGATGCGAGATACCATGTCTTCCCACTCTGGGTTCAAAGGGTCAGCCTCGCAGCAGGAGAAGGCCTGAATTTTTACAACAAATGGCCATTGTTTTCGCGTGGAATGTTATTGACAGATTCTTAAACATGCCTCAGATTCCTATAAAAACTGCTCGCTAGCAAGCTGCTTTGAAACAATACGGCATTGTTACATAGATAGAACAAAAACAGCAAGTTTGGCTAACCTTTAATCCTAGGCGGTGACGTGAGTAATAATTTCACGTGCCTTAAAAAACGAACGTGTGGCTGAACGTTTTGCGGTGCTCATCAGAATTGGCTTTCGCGCTGCACTCTGGCCACAGAGCCCGCCTCTGTGCTGGCACACAGTCACTGACTGACACACGGGAGTCATCCCAGGCCTGCCCAGTTTCTAGGGGGGCTCTGCGACCAAGGGGACTTCTCAGAGTACAGCTACATGCAAGCACCCCCTGGCGGTCTCCCAAAGGGCACCTGGGTGCAGACCAGAAACGGGAATTTTGTTCCGAGCTCCCCTGACTATGCTCCCATGTGGGCACCTTGGAGAACCTCCAGGAAGGGTGCGTCGGAAAGGGTGCCATGGCTGGGGTGACATGAGGTGAGCAGCAAAAGGAGAAGAGCGAGCCATCAAACCAACACGGAAATAAGAGTCCCGTGGCTGGCGGACCCGCGCAGCAAGCGGGTTTGTGAGACGCAAGCCGTCATCCAAACGGACAGAGCAGTCAGTGTGTGTCCGCCTGGCCTGCACACACCTGGGATCTTTCACGAGAGGCCTTGCTACCTCGGGCCGCTGCTGAGGGAGACGCGCGGTGGAACAGGAACCTGCCTGGGCAGGACGCTGACCGGGGCAATCCCTGCGAACACGGCACCGCACACAGCTGGCGGCGCCCAGCCCTGCGTCCTGGGGGAGGGAAGGGGGAACGGCCGAAGGCCTCTCCGGCGGGAAGGCCTCCCAGCCTCTCCGTGGCCGTGTGGCTGTGAACCGTGGCTTCCTCCTTTGCATCAGCGGCTCTGTGGGTCGGGATGCCTGGGGAGCCTGTCAGGGTTCAGTTAGGCTGCTCCGCAGGAGCCGGGAGCACAGTGGCTTCCTGGGGCTGAAGACAGGGCGTGCATTTCCAGTTCCTGCCACCCTGAGAGCTGTGCCAGCGGGGGCCCCCCCACCCTGTCCCCCGTTGTCAGCAGGGAACTGGAAAGGACAGAGTGCATCAGGGGAATGAGGAACTCACTCAGGCTCCTCTGCGACAGTCTCTGAGGTCAGCCGCAGGGTGGCCTCCGGCGCCCTGGGGCTCAGGAGGCAGAGGGCCACCTCCCGCAGGGCCGGGCCTGGCCGGGCGCGCTCGGTGCGGCCCTGGGGAAGGATGCGGAGCGGCACCTCCGAGCCCAGCGCTCAGCCCCACACGCAGTGTCGGGGCAGCTGGCGGGGCCCAACCGACAAACTGAAGTTTTTCACTTTGGTTTCCTTGGACCTCCAACGATTAATATAAACTCAGATGTTTCCAAAGTACCGTATTTTGCTGCGTATAATGCGCACCCACATTTCTGTGTGCATCGTACACAGGATTATTTTACCCATTATTATACGCATGGTATAGAATCAGTATACCCATGTATAATGCACACCCTTATTTTTCCCTCAAAACTTTGGGGGAAAAAAAGTGTGCACTATATACAGTAAAATATGGTACATAGATTTTTTTTCCCCAGTTTTTGGTTCGTTGGTTCCCTGTTTTTTCTCTTTTTTTTGCAGCACTTTGAGCTTTTTACTTGATGTTTCTTTGAGAAATTTCTTATGCAATCTGTACTTGTATTTCCTTTGTATAAGTTACAGAGCTTTGGATTAAAGTCAATTTCAGTACTTTTATACTCACTGTTGCAACGTTTCAAAGCCTTGTTCTTTATAGAGCAATTCTTGCTTCATCTGTGAGAGTTCCCTCTTCAGCTTTTTAACCTTTGGTGAGAAATCAATGTAAATATGAATGTTTGTAAATAATTAGCAGCACCGTTTTAAAAGATAATCCATTAGTAAAGTATTAAACACATAAACACAGCCCTGAGTTGAACATTCACCCTGCTCATTTCTCCTTGACATAAATTCTACGATAGGTAGACTAATGAGGCTTCCGTGGTCCGTGATGGCCCTTACGACAGCTTGTAACCTTCATCACCTTACTGAGCAGCATTCCTACGGGCACGCACGCATCACTAGTGTCTGTTTTGTGATAAACAGCGGTAAGGGAGAGTCAGGAGTTTACACCGAGATACCGTGTGATCTCTGCAAGCTTGGACTCACGCTGCCCGAAGCTCCGGGGCCCCTGGCCACTCCCGTTTCTCAGGTGTGTCGCAGCGGCACCTGCTCAGAGTCTGCAGGGGCACCCCCTCTGGCTGGGGCGCTGTACCCTCCATCTTCAGTGGCTGGCCCCGCCACTCAAGTCTCAGCACACATGACCTTTTCCAAGAAGACTCCTCCCACCACCCCACCCACGCCGCTACCCTGTTTTATCTCGTTCACAGTTTTCAAAAGCCAAGATGTTCTGTGTACTTGCTTACTGTCTGGGCCCCTGAGTAGGTAAGCTGCCCCTCGCCAGCTGAAGTCCAAGCTTGTTGAACGGTACCAGGCAAACAGCAGGTGACTGATAAATATTTGATGTCACACTGATAAAAAAGTATGTGTTTTTTTCCTGTTGCCAAATATACTCCTTGGTAATAACAATACTAAGTTCCGATGGGTCAGAAGAACAGCAGAAGCCTGATTTAGTCATGAATTAGAGGTTCACACAGCTGTCAGAAATTGGTTTCCATTTGCGAAGTTACAGCCTTCAGGGTTTGGCGCTTTCTGTTACACAGTATTTCAACGTGCCGCTGAACCTTTCTTTCCTGTTTATCCTGCCCATTCCACCAACAGGGACTGACTCTCCACTGTGTGTCAGGCCCTGGGTCTGCAGTGTGAATAACTGAGGATAACAGTCATGACCTTCGCCCTCGGCGGCCTTACAGAGCCACGGGGGAGCCAGATCCTGGGCCAGTCACCGCAGGTGACATAAAGGAAACGTTCGGGGCGCTTCAGGATGCAGACGCCGCCTGCGGTCTCAGGTAAGGCCTGTCCGAGGAAACAGCGGTTAAGCTGAGAGGGTCGGGGGGCTTCCCGTGGCGCGAAGGGCTCTCAAAAGGCAGAGCCTGTGGGCACACCATCATCTGGGGGAGGGGCCCTCGCAAGTCTCGGGGAGCACAGGGGTGGCTCGTGACCTGGGATGGGGCTGGAGGGGCAGTCTGGCTACAGAGGGCCTGGAAGCCACGTTGAGGATTTCTGCACCTCCTCCCGAGAACAGTAAGAATCAAGGAAGACTTTTAAAGGATGATCTGCGGAAGCTTATAAGAGATCAGTGTGATGCATCTGGTGAGCCGACTGGAGGGGCCAGCAGGACCCCGCACCCGCACCGCGGGGCGGCACGGGCGCAGTGCGGCAGAGAGCAGAGCCCAGAGGGACAGCGTGGAGGGGGTCGCCAAGGCTCGGTGAGGGGCACGGGGGGGGGAGGGCGAGGGAGAAGACGAGCCAGAGGTCACGCCCAGGACGTTGGCGTGCCAGTGGGTACAGGACGGTGCTTTCCTGGAGAGTGGGACCGGCTCTGGGGGGAAGACCAGGGCTTTCTTTAGGACATTTCTCTGGTACCCGGAAGACATGAAAGGCACTTGGGATATGCAGACTCGATGTCCAGAAGAAGTGTCTGGACTACAGATACAAAACCAAGGGCTGCTGACATACAGACGGTATTTTAGATGCATGAGAATAAATGCGACCACCCAGAGGACGGAGTGAAAGAAGAGAGTTCAGGAACACGCCTGGCCAACTTCATCTTCAGAAATCTGCCCAGGAAGGGACAAAATACGCCACGGAGTGGCGGCAAGCGAAGCTGGAGGAACAGAAGAGAGTGTCACAGAATACGTGACTGAAATGTCCGGAGGAAGATCCAGCACCCAAGGAGGAATAAAATGACAAGTGCCGGGTACCACCCCTGTTCGCACGCCTGGCCACTCTCCTGCAATAGAGTAGATACTCTGTCATTTATCTGGAGACCTTAGCTGAGCATTTACCAGTTTGTGCCCCAAGGTGCTTACATTGTATTAGGAAAAGGAATACAAATAACTGCTGAAAGGCAGTTATTTGACTGCTACACAAGGAGGTACCCACACCGCCCCTGGGTCCTGGGGGTGGGGTGAGGGAACGATTCCTCAAGGGGGGTGATGCGGGCTGACCTCCTGGGGCAGGAGGGGCCGGAACTGGGTTTGGAAGGTGCCGGGCTCCTGAAGAGCGCTGGGCTTCTTCACGGGGTGTCACAGAGACAGTTCGGTTGGGCATTAGACTAAAGTGTGGGAGCCGTCTGCAATCGATAGCACCTTGTAATGTGCTTCCGCTCTGACAGCGCCCGCCAGAGCTTTTTACCAAAATGACTAATGTTTTATTTTAAAACAACAGTTAATCCAAAAATCAATGGTGACTCCAATGGCTCGGCTGAAACCTGTCTTTACCTTGGAAAACATAGGTGATAAAAACAATGGTAATAAGACGTGAGTTCAACTAAGAACAACTGCATTAAAACAATTGGTGTATCTTAATGACAACAAATAGCATTCTACTGAAACTCATTTGGGCTGCGATGACACACCAATTTAATTTCTTTTCAAAAATCTAAAATTAACATTTGACCAGACTCTTAAGTGACGTGAGCAACATGTTATTGTATGCTAAGTAACAGTGATGAAGAAAACTAACTGTGCTTTCTTTTCTTGCACATTATTTACTTTACCTAAAGTTGGTTATAAGCTACTGTTTTTATTTTGGGGTGGGAATCTTAGCAGATTCCCTGAACGATTCTTAGCTCCCAAATATCACTGTTAAATTTTATTTTGTTTACTATTAAAAAGTTTGATTCTATTACATTGCCAGGTGAAAACATTATTTCCAACCCAACATTATTTCCACTTGGTTTTGGTTTGACGACTCTGGTCTTAATTAGTTCAACTGCCTTGGTTTTCAGAGGACCATTTGGGATCGTTAGCTCTTACAGGATCACTGTTTCTACTCTTCCACTCTCCAAACCACCCTCCAACGTCGGATGCAGGATGTAAAACCACATGCCCTCAGCTCACAGCTAAAGGATTAAGCTAATGCTGGCCTGCAAATTTAGCCCAATGCGGACTTTACTAGGGAGCAATAAGGAGCTGAAATTCATGAGTGCTCCACGTGTTCCAGACATCGTACTAAAGAGAAATACCTATTTTCAGCCCTCACAATTCCTCTCTTAGATACACACAGCTTAATTATTCTTTCATAGATGAGGAATCTCAGACCTAAAGAAAGTCAGTAATCTGCTGAAGGTTTCACTGCTACTAAGCAGCAGAGAGCAGTCTAGAACCCAGGAGAATTTTTTAAAAACTGTAATTATAAAAGCTTCAGTTATAATGGCATAATATCTGTAAGATCAAAGATGAACTGGAATTACAGCAAAATGACCTAAATAAAACCTATGGCCCTTATTTTAGTTCTGAAACTTCACTATTGCTATATCCTGCCCCAGCTGAAGACAGGAGCAGGCCCATGAGCCCTAGGGCCTGTGTTCCTTTCTCCTGCACACTGGGCTCCCTGGGCATAGCCGGCCACCTATCTGTCCAGGCCTACTTCGAAGGAATCAAACTTAACAGCCCGGAGCACCGAACTGGAGGCAGGACAGCCTTGACTTTTGCACGTTTCCTGCTTTTTATCCCGAAGGCACCAAAGCAACTGACATTTCCCATTGACTTTCAAGTTATTTCTGAGGACCAATTTTAGCATCATAAGTTTGATTTCAGAAGAAGGAGAGAGATGACAATGAAGGAAGAGCAGATTCCAGAAACCTGTGGACCCTAGAAGGACCCCAAGACAGGTAAGTTTCCTATGCCTGCCCTACAAGTGAACCTGCAACATTAAAGCCCTAACGAGCAAAGCAGCGTTTTATTAATGACTGTCTTCCTCCTTTCCCCCGTTCTCCATTGTCTTGCTGGGAGGTCAGTAGGCAAGCCAGTGAAGGGCGGCTCTCAGAGGCTCCTCCTGGAAAGACCTCCCTCCGCTGCGCTTCCATGTAACTAAAACCCTTACCTTTAAAGAAAATGAGAACGCAACGCCAGAGAGTCACAGGATTAGCAATAAACATGGTTTTGACCTGACTGAAGAATAGAAAGAAATAGAAGCCCAGATGCTATTAGAACCATTTGTGATGACTCACGAATGAACTTGGTCCTCGGAAACAACGTGATTGAATATAGTATTTTTCTAAACCCAAACTTTTGTGTAACAATAGAAAAGAAAAACAAAGCCAATGAGAAGCATTATGTGAAATATTTATGAAATATTCTACCTGGATATACAGGTAATAGATAAAAATATGGAAAGCCAATGCTAGACCTTCGCAAGTAGTTCAAATAAATCAGTTAAGCTGCTATCAGACTCAGTGGCCTAGAGTGAAGTTCTCCTTTGTGAACACTCCATGTGCACTTGAAAACAATATGCATTTTGCTTTATTTAGGTGGTATGATCGACGAATGTTCATTTGATCAGGTTGGTTGATGAAACTGTTCACAACTTCAACAGCTGTACTGATTTTGTCTGTATATTCTATCAGTTACTGAGAGAAGAGTGTTGATATGTCCAACTGTAATTGTAAATTTGTATTTCTCCTTTCAGTTCTATTGGTTTTTAAAGCTCTTTTATTATGTGTACACATCTTCAGGGTTATGTGTATATATCATTATGGCCTTTCATAAACTGACTTATTTATTAGTAGAAAGCCCCTGGTAATACTATCTCTTGTTTTAAAGTTTACTTTGATATTAATATGGCAAGTGCAATTTTGTATTTGTATTTTCATAGTATATATTTTTCATGCCTTTAATTTCCAACCTATCTGGATATTTACA